CCGATAAAGTGAGACTTAACTTGATAGAGCTTCGCATAAGCGGCTTTCTCGGAATCACCCGTGACGAGAATTATGCCATCGATGTCGTTCTCCTTGAAGCGTTTCTCCCAGTCATCTGGATTATCCCGGCCTTCACCCCCAGCAGTCCCACCTTGCAGATCGGCAAGCATGCCGCCAAGAAAGGAACCGGCCTTCAAGCGGTCATTTTCGTTCCTCACCAGCTAGAGGCGGAGATTAGCGGTATGTCTCACACCAGGATGGGCCCCGGGGGGATAGCCACTCGCTTACCTTCTTCAGGCCATGAGCGCTGAAGCCAATATTTACCCCGGCCAGTGGAATCGTTGCGGGGTGGGTAAGCCCATTAGACACTGCAGTCTTGTGTTTCGCAATTTGGTCTCGAGCTTTGAGGGCGTTATTTGCCGTAGTTATATGAGGAATCAGGTAGCGCAGATGGCGCCGGAACTTGTTCGGCTTCGAAATGTTGAAAAAGTAGAACAACTCAAACTCCTTGGGCAAACCCGGCCTATCTGAGGTTAACATTATTTTGCGAAGACCAAACGCTCCCTAGAGCACTCACCATATGTTACCCTGCACGTTGTCCTTATTCACTCCATTCGCCAGATTTCCTTCAAATGCCATTTTGATAATGAGAGTGTAGTAGTCGAGCAGGTAATACAATAGCACGACAGATAATCGACACACACGGAGCCCTCATACAGCGGCCTTTATAGCTTAAATCAACTTCTTGAACAGCGGCCATAATCGGAACGCTGACTGAAAACCGTCAACACCAGTTCCGCGCAATGCCGGACTGAACAGCCAGCAATACTGGGGTGTGCAACACCATGGTTTGACGGCACGACATTGCGTGTATGACTCTGATCGGAACTGGATGGGAAACCTTAAGCGGTTGTAAGGCAAAGATACCAAATTGGCTAAGGTTGCATCCTTATGTGACAAACTCATCTTTCTTTGATTTGGTTGGTGGTCTCTGGCAACCTACCAAATGTTGAGCCCAGAGTCAAGGAGCGGTTGACGCGATGGTCTAGAAGAACCGGATCTGTGTATCCAAGTGAAGTAACACCCTTTCCTCTCTGGCTTCTGGCTAGCCTTGATCAATGGCTTGGGTGTAACGAGGGTTTCAACTTTACCTACACGGACTGGCGTCGGGGACAGAGAAACGGATATGCCGCTTGCAGAACATTAATTGACGCCATATATCGGATTAATAACCAGTCCACCTATGCCCACCGACTAAAGTCATATGTTTTGGGGAATGAGGTCATCACTCCGACCTCGCCCTACAGCTCTGTACAACATTTATGGAATTATGGGGTCAGCTTATGTCAGCTCATCTTGCAAGAAACCACTGCAAGACGCTATGTGGCATCGCCAACATTCCCCATGTCCCGAGCAGACAGTGAGTTCGCGGCCTGCTCTACTAACCAGGTACAGTTGGGTACAGCTCCTGGTAAATCATAACGCGACGAGGCGATGACAACAAACAATGCTGGTCCATGCCCTTACTTGGACATTGTTTGTCTTTTTTTGGATGCCGTGGAGCGAAATACTCGACGAGCCTACAAAGCACAACAGGAATGAGGATTGAATGGGGTGACTACCTATCTGAGGTCTCAGGAATTTGAACATATGTTTTAGTGCGACATAGTTCTACCCCAGATACGGAATTGCATCGGTAGTTGAAAGGAGACATGCCAGATTGAAACGGGTTGATTGTATCCAACAGCATTCTATTTCCGTAAATTCAGTCTATATGTCAATATCCCGCAATTCAGCATTTCTCTTGTCATTCCATTGCTGCGCTTGCAAACGCAGATCCCTCTAGGCCTCGCTAGCCCACATAAGGGTCCTAGATATTATCACTTCCTACTATCTCTAGATAAAGGTTTTCTCGAACACAACATTCTACGAGTCCCTGACACGACAATGTTCCGAAGGGGTTGATCATGGGACGGCGTGCGAGAAAATCGATCAGTATGGAAGGAATTTCGTGTTGGCGGCTTTGACTTGATTCTTCTTTGTCAACATGCCATCCCGATCGCCAGCCGCTCTTAATATTACGGCGGTGACAGGGACTAGACCGTGCATTCCTTATGGGGAGTGTCACTGTCTTTCAGTGGATGTTGGGATATGCGGCATGTGTCACGCTGTGTGGGACATGGGAAATCCCTTCATTCCTGAACACCAGGCATTCTAGTGCTTGATTGTATACAGATGCTCTAAACTGGTTGCTCGAGTTTCCACCCACCCCGATGAAGTATATATTTCAATTCAGCCTACATCCAGGGACAATGGGGGCTTGGAGAACATCTTTACTCTTATCCTAGACCGCCTGCAAAGACTCGATGGAGCAGAAGCTAAGAATGGGTCTCAAGTGGGCATCGCTATTGTTGCTCATCGGTTTATCCAAAGCGGAGAAAGCCAACGTGCACGGGTCGCTCATATCTGCAGTAGCACAAGGGCTGTCTCTGGGTATTGAAGGTAGTGGTGCCCCCGTCGACGCTGGAGGAGAGAATACGGGCTTGTATCAGTCTCCACCTTACAACAGTGCACGGATCGACCGTAGTACTTGGATAGCAACATGCGACAGCGAGCAGGTCGGACATGGATGCATCAATGCGATTGACGGGGACAATACGACGTACTGGCACAGCGGTTCCGGCACCGACAGCAATGAGCCACTTCCTCACAGCATCACGATCAATCTCAGGACAATACAAAATGTGAGCGGGATCGGCGTTTGGCCAAGAGCCGTGGAAGATGGTTGGATCGCGACACATGATGTTGTCCTAAGCACTGATGGGGTAACCTGGGGAGATCCAGTCGCACATGGAGCATGGTGGCCTGATTCAACCGTGAAGTTGGCTGTCTTTGAGCCCAAAGCGGTCCAATATGTCAGGCTCATTGCGCGTTCCTCGTCCAATGGAGACAATGCAACTAGTATTGCAGATCTACAAATCTGGTCGGCGAACAGCATTCCAACTGCTCCACAGGGAAAACCCTCGAATGAAGTTGGCGCCTGGGGCCCAACGATCGACTTCCCTCTCGTCCCTGCCTCGGCGGCCATCGAGCCAAGTTCGGGGAAGGTGCTGGTCTGGTCTTCGTATCGGAAAAACCAGTATGGGGGCACCTCTGGTGGTTTAACACAAACTGCAACTTGGGATCCGCAGACGGGTGTTGTCTCGCGGCGGGAAGTCTCCAACACCGAGCATGATATGTTCTGTTCTGGGATCTCCATGGATGTCAATGGGCGCGTTATTGTCACTGGAGGAAATGATGATACCATGACGAGTATCTACGACTCCTTCAGTGACAGCTGGATCGCAGCGGCGCCCATGAACGTCGAACGTGGCTACCAGGCCTCCACCATCCTGTCCGATGGAAATATGTTTGTCCTGGGCGGTTCGTGGAACGGGCCGCAGCTTCAAAACAAGAACAGTGAGGTGTATAATGTCACGGCCGACACTTGGACTGAGTTGCCGAACGCCGGCTCACAACCCATGTTGACCCATGACAACCTGGGCCCCTATCACTCAGATAACCATGGTTGGATTTTCGGTTGGAAGAACCTCTCGATCTTCCATGCCGGACCGAGTCAGGCCATGCACTGGTACTTCGCCCAGGGCGAAGGAAACGTGGCCGATGCAGGCAATCGAAGCACGGACTACGATCAGATGTCCGGCAATGCGGTCATGTTTGACGCCACTGGGGGAAGAATCCTCACATTTGGAGGGTCCCCAAACTACGAGGATTCGGATGCTACGAAGAATGCGACTCTCATCACGATAGGGGACCCTGAAACCCCGCCAGTGACCGTGAAAGCAGGTGGCGATATGACCTACGCGCGGACGTTCCATACTTCCGTTGTCTTGCCCGATGGAAGTGTTTTCATCACCGGCGGCCAGGCACATGGCCTGCCCTTCAATGAGGACACGGCTCAGTTGACGCCAGAGCGATACATCCCTGGGCAGGATACATTCGTCGAACAATTTCCGAACAATATCATCCGAGTTTACCACAGCTGGTCGCTTCTTCTCCCTGACGCGACGGTGATTAACGGTGGCGGTGGATTGTGTGCCAACTGCACCGCCAACCACTACGATGCCCAGATCTATACTCCCCCATATTTGTTTGACGCGGATGGAAATCGTGCCCCTCGTCCTCAGATCGAGACGGTAGCCCCCGCCAGCCTGCGGTATGGTGGTGAAATTACGATCACCGCCGATTCCCCGATCAGTAATGCCTCCCTGATCCGCTACGGCACCACAACACACACGGTGAACACCGACCAGCGTCGCATTGAACTAGTGCTCCAAGATGCCGGGACCAACATGTACACAGCAGACATCCCCAATGATCCTGGCGTTGCTCTTCCTGGATACTACATGCTGTTTGTCATGAACGCAAACGGAGTGCCTAGCATATCGAAAAACGTCCAAATTACTTTGTGAGAAGCCGCATGCTCGAGACAACGAGATGGTCCGAACGGAACTGGATCACAAACCCCTGATTCATTCAGCAACTCAGTTGAGGATTCATGTCCCCGATAAGACATTTTGGATGGTCAGATTAAGAAACACTTGTCACTCCATTTCGGCTTCTATCCTGTTAAACCCTGCTGTGGAGAATGTTATAGAACATGTAGTGCAATGTGAAAGAATGTTAGCAACTGCAAGCTCTAACAACCAATATGTAGGGTGGTCCAATCCGGATTTGAACATGAATGCTTGAAAAAGGTCCTTCATTTTTATTTACCGCACTAACCTTTCTCTTTGATGTATGCATCACACACAGCCTACAGGTCGGGACCTCAATCTGGAGGAGGCATAACAGTACACAGTATAAGATCAAGAGAGGGTAAATAAGACGTTCATAGTCGAACAGCATGCGTCACACACTCCAGCGGACTCGTCTCTGGCCATCGCACTTAAAAGACCCGCATCCGGCGAAAGGGGAGGGACGAGCCGAATGAGACAGCATCAGTTACCGTCATGGGCCCTGTAATCAATAGCGGAGCTATATCTCGGGTCATAGTGCATCGCCCAGTATTCATCCCATATTGTTGTAGTAAGGGGGCCGACCTTTCCATTCTGGATCGGTTTCCCATCGAGTTTCGTGATAGGCATAATGCCACCAGCTGTTGTACACATGAATATCTCATCGGCATGATAGGCATGTTCGAGTGGCACCACCTCAACGCGGACCTCGATGTCCTTGGCCTGGGCGATATCAAAAACACTCTTGCGTGTAATCCCTTCCAGAACACCACGGTCGGGCGTGTAGATAATCCCATCTTTAATCAACACGATATTGAAACCGGATCCTTCTGTGAGATTGGTATCTCCGTCGGAGAGAAATGGGTAATCCGCGCCACGGTCAGCCGCTTCGAATAGACCCCGTGTCAAGTCCCCCCACTGGAGATTCTTGATGGTAGGATCGAAGGCACCCACGGGAGTGCGCCGTACGGTCCGGGCAATGATCGCACTGCCCCCGGTAGGTTGCATGGCGGGCTCCATTACCCAGACATACGGCATGACGATCAGGTAGAGATGATTGTCGAAGAGATCCTCTGGCTTATTGCCACGGACCCCTTTCATGCCACGGGTGACGATCAGCTCCACAAAGGCATCTTCGATTCCACTCTTAGCCACCATCTTGCCTAGGGTCTGCTTCACCTCGTCCCTGGACAGTGGGATCTTCAGTCGCATCTTCTGACAGCTGTCTTCCAATCGACTGAGATGATCATCGAGGCGGAAGAAGGACCCATCCCAGACCGATGGCACATCGTACGTGAGGTCGCTATGCATGAAACCCTCGTCGAGGAGTGGGACTCGTGCGTCAGCGAGCGGGACGAAAGATCCCTGGACGTAGGCAATTCCCTTCGCAAAGCGGTTATCGCTGTTATCTAGACGAGCCTTGCGCTTGTAGTAACCGGAAAATACTTTGTTCATGGATGTCATGGTGGGATGTCTGTATGTCCCACTGAGGATGTTACCAAAAGAAGGGTCTGATTATCAGAAGGGTTGTGTCTATAGTCTCTGGTGGACCGATACCTCGAACACTGGAAGAGAACAATCAGAGTTGCGTTGGGGCTATGGCAGAACGCCGTGTCTGGTTTTATCTGCTGGTACGCCCACTTCCGCATGACTTAATGACTCCAGGCTCATAACCGAGTAGTGAACGGTGGATGATCCGTTCTTCCGTGCCCACGTTGATTGGCACCGCTCTGGGTTGGCTATTTTTCCCGGGTCTGGTCTGGTCTATGAGTGATTGTGAACCAAGGCGTCACCGCTTGTGTATGATCAGCACACCTGCTCCGGCGGTCATTCAGATCCTGTTGTGACGTATTGACTGAGCCTGGATGCTGTATCCGGTCCCACTATGGTTGCCGTGACTTGTCTCCCTGTGCAGAAGTTCTACATGTCTATGTTTTCGTTTACTGCCCGCATGAGCCAATTCAGGACTTTCAGGACGGTGTAGTTGCTTTGAGTCGCACACCCAGCCGTCTCGTGGAGAAGGCATGGCGGTTGCACTCATGCTACGTCTAGGATGATTATATTCAGAGATAAGATATATCGCATGGGGAGAAACATATGTCGAATGACACCTGTTGAAAGTGTTGGTGTCAACACCGTCAAGACATTATAGCCAGAATTCAATATACCAATCGCATCATAACAAGCGGAAATCAGTGCCTGTATAGAGATCGTTATAAACAGCACAGATGAATATAAAGCCACTAGGACCGGGTAGGTGAGCTGCTCCAGGCAGGTGATGCGGCTTCTTTAGTTCCTCGGCGCTGTCCTGGAAGGGCAAACCACAATATCAAACACAGGACAAGCATCGTAAGGACAACAGGGTGAAGAACCTTGATACCGTGGGCTTTTGCAATTGCGCCCGTGATAAAAGGGAAAATGCATCCACCCGCGCTCCCCAGAGCACAGGCAAAGCCGACGGCTGCAACATGGAGATGCTTTGGCAAGAGTGCGGCCTGAGCAATAACCGCTTCCGGGTAAAGAGGGCCCAGGAAAAAGCCCAGTAAGGTCACTGCGATCATGGATAAGTGGAGTTCCGTGGCGAGCCAGAAACCAATATGGCACACCACACAGGCTAGTAAGTACACAACAATAACAAGACGTTGCCTCTGGAAGTAGGGTGTAATGAATCCAAGGCACACACGGCCAACGGTCAATCCTCCCCAGTACATGAATGTGACCACGCCTGCCACAGACGGTGGTGTATTCCGCAGATCTACAAGGAACGTGAAGACCCATCCTCCAACGGTGACCTCAACGCCCACATAGACTAACAGGAATAGACTGATGATCCATGTCGAAACCAAACTTAATGACTCCAGCGTTGGGTTCTTTCGTGTGATGTTGGGTCTTGACGAGTCTCGGGCATCTTGTTGGACGTTGTCCTCAGGAAGACCAACACCCAGTTCACTGGCTTCAGCCAGCGAGCCTCTTGCTGACCAGAATGCAGCGACTGAAGTCACAAACTCGACGGTTGCTGCAATACCCATTATATAGTAGAAGTGGTACCACATCCAGTCTCTCTGGGTGATCACGTAAGTGGCCGTAAGCGGTGCCAAAGCCGCTCCCAGACCGTAAAATGCGTGGAGGATTCCCATTAATTGGCTGCTATTATGCATGGCACCAATCCAAGCGTTCCAAGATGCATCCACGACGCCATTTCCCAGGCCAGCCAGGATGAATATCGTAACAAGAAGCGGGAACGGAGGGTGCTGGGTCGTGGCAAAGTAGGAGATAACATGCAACCCCGTGCCCAGCAAGGCAATTCCGCGCTGTCCGAAGCGCTCGTGTATCCAGCTATTGGCCATGGCAGCGGTAGCGTAGCCAAGAAATGGCGAAAGGAACACAACTGACACCGTGGTATAGTCTGCGTCGTAATATCGGCCCAGCTATTAAGAGATGAAGGGAATAGAAAGTGGTTAGCAGCCGATATTCAGAAGGTACCGCGCATATATCCGACGGATGAACCTACATAGTGAATCATGGCCTACCCATAGCAAGCCGATTAGTACAAGCTCCTTGAGAATGGACTTTCTGTGAACCACTTACCCCGTATGCGCCGTCGTTTGCGCCGACCACAATAAAGCTGTAGAATGTAGCCAGGACACGCCACAGGTTCACTGGCGGTTCATTCCACCTTTCTGGCTGCTGCCCTGAGTGGGAGATGTCTGCTTCACTGACATTATCTCGGCCTCGTGTATCTGCCTGGTAAGACCCATAAGACACATAGGCCGAGTCTGATAATAAAGGAGCCTGTGACGCCAAGTCCTGCTGTGTGCTCATCATTCATGCGTTATCTTGCCTTCAGGGATGCGATGCTGGATGTAAATAAAACAAGGATTTAGGCTCTAATTACCGCAAAATGCTTGGCGTAGGTATTATTATCAGACGGTAGGAGGTGCAACAAGCAGGCCAGCAGCAGGTAGGAAAGAATGGGAGTGAGGGAAAGAAATGGAAATAAGAGAAAAAACGGACACAGCCGATGGAGGCAGAGGCAAATCCTACGTATCTAGTCTTACTAAGCGTATATGAACATGGTTATCAAAGCCCTTACGGCCGGAAGGGTTGCAACGCATCAGAATAATGAGTGTAGTAAACGTTTACGTTACATCTATATCTAAAGAGTGCCGCCTAGAGGTTTCTTTCCAATTAGAGATAGATTGTGCCACTAATACAATACTCATGGTGTCATTATCAGCATAATGCTCGCAGGATTATACTTTTTTGGTCGCTCCCAGTCCGTCTTTTGTTTGACTTTTCTTTTTGCTCGCTCTTCGATAATTCAACCAAGAACAAGGTAAATCAACATAGGCAAAAGAAAAAGAAAGCCTAGACAACAAACATTCCAGAACCGGTAACACTTCACATAACGAGCGCAGCTACATCTTCAAATACACTGTCAATAGTTTGAACGAGCCGACTCACGATATCGTCCACATCTTCTTTACGGACAGTGTACGGCGGTGCAAGTAACAGGTGGTCACCATTCCAACCATCAACCGCACCAGTGGCGGCAAATACGCAGATATCGTATCCCCTTTCCATTCCCCTGGACTGCATGCGCTTGCTGATGGCGAATGCTGGAGAAAAAGGAGTCTTGGTGGGTGGATCCGCCATGAATTCCACTGCCCAAAAGAGACCACGCCCTCTGATATCTCCGATATATGGATGGTTGCCCAGGTGTAGCTTGAGCTGTTGGCCCAAATACTGACCCATCTTCCGACAGTTCTCAATGAGGTTTTCCTCTTGGATAATACGCTGGACTTCGACTGCTGCTGCGCAGCCCAGGGGATGGGATTGGTAGGTCTGCCCGTGGACAAAATACCCACCACCGTGTCTCAATCCATCCAAGACACGGTCGTTGACAAGTAGCCCAGAAATGGTCCCATACCCGGCGGCGAGACCCTTGCCTACGAGCTCAATATCTGGAGCGACGCCATCCTCCTGCCAGGCATGTGTGATTCCGGTCCGGCCCATGCCACACATAATCTCGTCGAAGACCAGGAGGGCACCATAGCGGTCGCATACATCCCGCACGGCTTGCAAATATCCTGGTAGGGCAGTAACACAGCCCAGGGCCTAAATGTTCTGACAGATTACTCTCTCATCCTAACCAACTAACCCATGCTGGGGTCCATGATCACATACCGTCCCGACCATCGGCTCCAGGAAAACCGCACAGACTGTTTCAGGCCCAAGCCGTTGGAACTCGTTGTCCAGCTCCTCCTTGAGCCGAGCTACATATGTCGCTGTATCCTCATTTTCCATGAGGCCGTGGTATGGATCGCACGCTGAGACATGAGAGATATTAGGGGTCAAAATGGAATCAAATCGACTCTTTCTCGGCTTAAAATCTCCTAATGCCAGTGCCCCTAAAGTGCAGCCATGCCATGAACCGTGCCTGGAAATGAACCTGGTTCGCCGTGTGTTTGGCGACTGCTCCTCGAAGTACTGATAAGCCAGCTTCATAGCGGCTTCGACGGCTTCGGAACCTATGTAGCCCACGAGTTTTAGTTCACGGATTCCTACCAAAATAGTCCCTTGACGTGAGGGATGATGCATGGAAAAATAGAAGAGGGGGGCTGATTGGTTACCAGATCCAAGAATGCACGCCCGAGACAGCTTTCCTCCTGTGGACTCCACCAAAAGATCTGCAAGCTCCATTGCGGGTGTATTTGGGAAAAATCCCGGGTGGCAGTACTCCACTTTGTCAAGTTGGGACATTATTGCCTTCTTAACACGACCTACACCATGGCCGATTGCAGAAACAGCCGCTCCACTCGTGGCGTCCAGTATCTTCTGTCCATTTTCGAGGTAAATATAGATGCCCTCGGCTGACTTTACAGAAGGGACCGTTGGGTCATGAGTGACATTCTTGTACAGGTATGCTGGCTCCGCCACGGATCCCATTGTACTGTAATAGTATAGATTGTACCTTGGGGAGGATCTGAATGATGAGAATCGCTTAATCACGAAATCGTGAAATAGCTCGTCCTTCCACACGGTTGATTAAATAGTGGGGTCTTGGACAATAGATAGGTATATCACCATCATATCCTTTTTTTTCCCGAACCTTCCGATCAATTTCAGTCTACATGGTAAAAGTAACTACGGTAGCCAGTCAATATGGCTAGAATCAGTTGTGGCCTTCGCATCAATACGTTTATCGTAGAGGCTGTGACAAGTCTAGGCCTTATGCGACAATTTGTGAACCATTGATTCGTGAAATGCTACCTATTCCGACTCTACATCTGTAAATCCTGCGGAGTTAGAATTCCTTCCTCAACCCTGACAGACCATGGGTCACCATATTGTCCGCAATTCTTAGCGGACTCTAGCGCAATTCAATATCCACATATACCATAGGTTGCATTGATATATCCGATAGAATGTTACCTTTCAGGTTCAAACTAACAGTAGTGACTCATAGAGTATAGCCTTCCTCGAAAACGTGATAATCTAGGGTAGTAACACGGCATCTACAACGATGTGGAGAGAAGTGGCTTGCGCAAAGGACACCTAACACTTAGTACTGAATTGCGTATGTGACATGGAGCTCAGTTATTTTGTTAGTTGGAATTAAAATCACCGCGAATAGCGGAATGTTGCATTCCCAGGGTTCCGGGTTTCTGGTGTGGTGTGGCATGCTCCGTTTTCGTCGAGTGCAGACAGCAATCCATCTAAATGGAAATTGTAGAGGGGATTTAAGTTCAACCTTCGCTATATGACAAATGTTTAATTTACGGACGTATGCTGATCATCGATTAAAATAATCAGATCTAGTATACGACTGGTTAATGTATAGGTCGCTCAGGGTGTGGAAGCAGTCCCTTTCGGGTAGGAGATAGATATCGGCTGTCAGTACAAGACCCACATGATTAGGTTGTCATATGCAGAGTGAACCAGAGATTGTTCGGAATAGTTGACCCACCTAGAGCACAGTTATTGTGGGATACAACAGTCAAGTACCCGACACTAAGCTTTTAATACGCCGGAAATGTGGTTACGTTCCCTGGATCTGCTCTCAAGGCTAGTGACGCCAGAAGAATCGCTGCAAATGGCCACTTCTGAATTCTGGCCCTGTGAGAAGCTAGATCTTCATCCTGTCCATATCTCAGTATACCTGCTAGCCACACAAGGCTCCTCATTATGCGAGAGATAGTAGCAATTACAGATGGCGCCACTGGCGCAAATGTCATAAAATCGCAGTTGACGGCTAGGCCAATCTTTCGCGGTAGGTACTTCGGAATAGGAAACATTCGTAGCACTCTACCTCGTACAGATGTCCCTGTCATGCATGTAATGATCATACACGCAACTGGAAAAATCTTAGATCTCATAGCTGCCCACCACCAGGCTTATCTAGGAGATGGGGGTACCCAATTGTCCTTAGGTAACTTAAATGTGAATAACGCCGGTAGATACGTTCCTATAACCTTGCTCCTTTCCATAATCATCTGCTTCGGCGCCATTTTAATTCGTTCGGCTTTTCTTGAAAGATCCCCAATCGTGGCCACAGGCGTCATAATGGAATTCCCTCAAAATGAGCTGCTTTATCTCAAAGATAACCCCAAAGCTATCTTTTTTACAGACTTTGATGGAACCATTACTCTGAAAGACTGTATGATACTCTTCCCTAGGCTTTCCTTTATATTTCCATCCTACTTCCATCATATTATGATACTCAGACACGACCGTCGCTGAATGCAATGCAGGCAATGACTATCTGGTACTATGTCGACTCCAATATATATTCTCCATAGCTTACCCGGTGTGAAGGTGGATAACTTTGGGTTTGGGGTGGAAATGCGACGTAAACTGGAGATGGAAGTGATGAAAGGGAATATGACTTTCAGGTAAGAATTCAATATACGTTGTCATTTCACACAGCATCTTGACAAGTTTCACCAATAGAGATGCATTCCACGCCATGCTCCAGAGTGTACAGGTCCCGTTAGCGGATTGTCTGCGACTTGTGCAGGATAATATTCAGCTTGATCCACACTTCCTGGATTTCTATTATTGGGCAAAAAGGTGTAATATTCCTATAGTTGTTCTGTCCTCTGGGATGACTCCTTTCATAACCATGTTGTTGGAGTCCGTTCTAGGCAGCAATCCAGAAAATATATTCGTTGTTGCCAATGACGTGGAGCCTGAGAGTGTCGGGGACAGGACGACAGGGGGTGGATGGCGGATTAAATACCGTGACGATAGGTAAAGGCAACAAATTCGCTGAGCCGTTGGTTGAGTCTTCGCTAACCAAAATGATGCACTATACAGCGCCTTTGGTCATGATAAATCGCTCGAGATCAAGCCGTACCTTGGACTACCCAGCGGAAATTGTCCTCTACTTTTTTATGCTGGAGATGGCGTCTCAGATTTATCTGCCGCATCCCAAACTCACGTGCTTTTTGCAAAGGAAGGTCTGGGTAAGTTCTCCTAGTGCTTTCACAATCTCATATCCAACTGCACGGTTGGTTACTTGCAATTGATATTACAAGAGCCTAACGTATTAGGTAGACCTAGTAGATTATTGTAAGGAAAGGGGAATTCCATTTATCCCCTTCACCAACTGGGGCTCTATCCTTGACACAATGCAAGGTATCTATGAATGTCTATCTAGTGCTGAAATGACGGGTTATCCTCACGTTGTATAATAACTGGCAGACTCTGTGATCTAATCCACCCAAGGCAAGCCGCTTATGCTATTTTATACTCAGATCGAAGTCCCATGTATCTGGGAGTCATATAACGAACTTATGATTATATACTCCTTTCGGGTTGATGCTGACATGCGCAACTTCATCAAGATAGCACAATTGTGGTTGGCATTAGGTGTTGTCCAACCCTTCCCTGGTTCTGCTTCGTGTGATATCTCGGATATCTAATATGTTAGAGAGTGAAGATGCATTGACAAAACTATGAGCAAAGATAATATCTAGATAGGGTTGTTAGGATTTGATATCTGGGTACACTAAAGATCTTCTGATGTAGGGCCAGCAGGTAGAGTTAGCATCATCTCGAATACCCTAAGCCTGCCAATGGATTGTTCTTTCTCTTCGTTCTCATCCTTGAGTCACATGATTATCTTCCGCTGTTGTGTATTACCCCGGGCTCAAACACAGACCAGCTTATATTTGTGTCCTCCAGTCCTCCAGTCGATATATCAGATCTCCTTAGTACCTATTAGTATACGCTTGGGCCACTGCAGCCCATTTCCGTGGCTCCATTCTATTTCTTCGTGCCTTCATGAAGCAGCTAAACTCATTCGATCATTATCAAGCTCTTCAGAGAAGTGAGGGGAGGTGGGGAATGGGTGGTAAATTGAAAAATGAGGAGAAAGGACCCTAACCTCCTGGAATCATTCCTTCATTCCAGCTGGCGGTTGATGCTCCTCCGCCCATATGCCGATTATTGGCGGGTGTGCCTTTCCTTTACTACCAACGTGCATATTCGCCTTGCTTTCTTTCCCATTATGGGGAGGAAAGGAGTAACTGACTCATCTTCCTTTTACAATTTTTAACAAACGGTCGGAATTATATGGCTATAGAATTGATGTGAAGGGGAGCTGCGATAGTAATAACGCTCAAGTTCAGGTGAACCCCTATATCACAGTCAACAACCGCTATCAACGATGGAACGTGATGATGGATTAAGGCACTGTCACTCTGTCGACCTTGCCTACAGCTGTCGCAATAGTAACTACTACGGCTGTGTAAACGTTGTTGGGCAGGGGAGCTTGGTTAATCGGCGGGTGTCCGTTTTCAACGCTGCGGGGAAGGGTCACGCAACTGAGAAGATGGATCCTGATATGGGAGTAATTAAATTCCTTGTGAATGTGGAGCTATAATGTACGACGATACAATTGGCCATCGTCTCTTTATGGTGGGTTGAAAGCAATTGACGGCGTAGCTGAGGTAGACAACTCAATGCATGCGTGGGGTCTAATATCTGTAGAGTATTTGTTGTGGTTTTCGTCGAACGAATGGGCAAGGCAGTGTCACATGGGGAAACACTTTTTAGAGGATATTTAGCCAATTGGATGCGAGGGGGATATGAGTACAATATGCATCAGGGTGGACAAGGTGGAGGCTTCTTGGCCAATCGATCCCGATGGCCTGCACCTGCATACACCACTAACACATCTAGACAAACATCTGCAGATTCAGGCTGCGAATTTGAGGGAGCCACGTATCTTCCTCGGTGGTCGATGTAAATATCTACTTTGGTGATGTAGAGTGAATATCTATCGCGAAGGGAGTGACGCTCTCTGGTCTCGGACGGGAAGATCATAAGATATCACAAATTGTTACTCCTAAGCTCAGCCCTTTAGTCAGTATAATAGACAACCACTATATTATGGTATTAGCAAATAGAATTTCTCGCATATATACCTTGGTCGAAAATAGGATCAAGATTTAACAATGGGTGAAAAAATCGCGCAATAGTATATCATGACTGCAGGCTGACGCAATATCCATATTCAATAATTGGTTTGGCGGGAGGCAAGACGGAACCCCGTATGCATGATTCAGTTTCTCTTAGAAATGGAAATAGATGAGATGAATACCTTGCTAGCCAGAAGACATGATCAGTCTTCGAAACCAGACTATAAAGCGTTGGCATCCGTCTACGAAATCACCTTTTCAAAAAGCCCCCAGTTCACACTCTTGGTTCACAATCAAAACAAGCACAAGTCCCATTCAATACACCGTCTAAACACCATCATCATGAGTGACTTCACTGGACCCAATGTATACACCGTAGTCGCCCGCCATGTTGACAAGCGACTTGATCTCGACAGCGGCAAGAAGGAAGATGGAACCAAGCTGCAGCTCTAGTATACCCCTCCATACCCCTTGATAGTGCTACATAAGGAATAACTAACACCCACAATAGTAAGCCACTTGATAATGACCAATACGGTCCAAATCAACGATTTGTCTTCGCTCATGCTGGCAATGACGAGTACCTCATCATCAATGCCAGGTCTGGCACCTATCTAACGGCTTGTATGACTAGATACCTTAATACTTTGAGTGAGCAGTGATGTTGATAATGTGAATTATCTTAGCCGATGACAGTAAGCAAATCACTGCCAATCTTCTCTCTCCCCTCGAGAAACGAGTTCGTTGGAAGATTGAGCCCGTTAAAGATCGCAGTGGAGCATACTTGTAAGCTTACTGTTATATATCTGAATTATTCGCTGTGCTCTTGCTCATATCTTTGATTCAAAATAGCATTGTCAGCGTTGCGTTCCCCAGCAAGGTGATCGATATTTCTGGGGCGAAAACCGACGATAAGACTGAAGCCCTCACGTACACCAAGAACGGTACTCAACATCAGCAATTCTTTTTGAGATCCGCTTAGTGGCACGCTGGCTCTGGGGCCTTTCGATGAAGCCTTAGGTACATGAGTCTGATATTAGTCAATACAGAGTAGATATTGACTTGAAGGTGACCGCAAATTCAAATCTATGCCTGTAGCTATCAGGTCATTCATAAGTCTATCATTTTCAATTCTGAGTTACCGAAAACATTCACAGAGTCCAGTAAACTCATTCTTCTCTATTCCTGATTTATGAAGCTCTGTCTCCCCTCTGTAGCTAAGTATATTAAACCTTCGAAACATCAAATTATTTGTGATATGATCAAATGTCATCCATCACTCACTAATGGGTAGGTAGCTGAAGCTGCCAAGTGTAGCACACGTATGATTCCTAGGATTCGCTCAAATCTTCGCTTTTTTGGTAGCAGCAAAGTACCTTCAAATAATGATGGACGTCCGCGAAGTATTACGCCAATAACGTTGGAAGCTCTTTGCGACCATCTTCTTGAGAAGCCTAACCTGTATCTTGACAAAATGGTTTCCGACATGTATGTCTGACCGTTGAAGAGCCGTAATGCAGGTACAACTGCTGTGAGATGATTTCACAACTTTTCTGTATAAACTTGTAGGCAAGAGTTTGGTTCCTGCTGACTTCACTATGATTTAATCTACTCCCTACCAGACTATCCCACTGTAGGTCGTGCAACAACACGTATAATATTTCAAAGTACTATATATCACGTTATGGACTCCTCAGGTCTTCAAGTGTTGATAAAATGTCTTCTTGATAACGGAAAATATGCTGACATGACAATATGTTGTCAAGAACATGAATTCAACGGGCACCGCGCCATTATCTTTTCTTAGTCACCCTTCTTTAATTGCTACATAAAGGATCAAAGTTCGCTGAGAATCGAATTATTCCAGCAAAGACTCCCAAGTAACCCCCTTCATGTACAGGAACAATGGGACAAACAATTACGTGCCCATTATCTGTACGTGGAAGCGATATCCAGATAAACTTATTCCTCGAGTCTTCTGAAATGGTGTAATTGCCATATGAAACTCTACACTTGAGCGGGTATACTTGCTTTGGGCTCGGCTAGTCGAAAAGTAGGTTCCTCATCACAGGAAATCCGCATATTGGCAGCATCGTTCTATGAGCTCCATTGAACTTCCAGCCTTTGGGCCACGTGCGGCTCATCCAGATATATCTTTCCAAAGAAGCCTCTGGCGATTGCATTCCCAGGGTTTCCAACATCTCTGAAAGAAAGGGGTAAATTATTGGTGCTAGGTTAGAAATATACCAATCCGTCTAATCCTTTCCTTGCGCTACTATTCCAGCTTCTGCATCGGTTGTAGCACACGACAAATTTAAGAAAAACTGTTTATATATATCATAATTAGAGAGTAAGACTACAGAAGATAGAATTTTAACTGTAGGATGTGAAAACTGAACAAGTTGTTACGCCCGGGGCTTTTGCTGTCAAGTCCTAAATCAGTAAGCTGGCCATGTGTAGGATCGCTCATCTGCAGTCGCTCTTCAACTGCTGCTGTCAATAGGTTGCGGTATGGGCAGAACAGAGATTACAGTTAAACTACCGTCGATAGAAGACTGCTATTGATATAGAACTGTTATGCTATAGCACTATATAGATGGTGATTAGGCGTATCGAACAGGAAGTTCAATATTTTGGTCTTTTTAGCTTAGTGGTACTGAGCCTAACCGCCACTCTTCTAACACTATAATCTAGCGGGTTAGGTATAACTGACCTCATTAACCTAACCTAACCTGGTCAAAGACCAGTCTAATCATGTACTACATATAGTCCAAAGCCCGGGTAACCAGCCGCACCGTCGAATATAATACCGGTTGGTGGGCCGTCTTCCAGCTTCAAGATAGTGTCTACTTGGGCGGCTATGTAGCCGCCCTGACTCCAATACCTGGGTCTAATATCTCACCGGGTGGTGCTCCGCCTGGGATTAGTACTGCTACTAGTGCTAATCGGTCCCGTTTCGGAGGATTGTTGCCGGCGAGGGTGTGCTCACGTCAGTACCCAGAAGCTGTGGAGAATGCCAATATCAAGCCGTTCAATTTCACTCGCAGAGTTACAGACTTGGATATTTGGTCCAATATCAGAGTCTAACCCATGGCGAGGCGTATTCAGTCTTTGCCAATTGCACTCTTGTATTGCGTGATATAAATAAAGTTTTACGGGATGTCCAGATCCTATAACCCATATCCACAGCCTTTGGAAATAGACGATATAAATGTTGTGAGCTGGATGAAATATCGGTAGAAGAGAAACCATACGCAATTAGACAAGGTTTTGTAAGCCTCAGAGCATAATCCGTATCATCTGACTACAATGGGGTCTATGACACTAACATACACCTACGACCACGGGTACTCAGATACAAAAGCCTTGCCAGTGAGGGAATACATATAGAAACATACGTCAGTGTAACATCTAGACCTCCTGCTCAAAGTAAATTAATTCTTATATCTTCTTGGAAAGACTTCCTGGCAGAAACCATTCGCAGAAACCCTGTCCGTGAATCATAAAAAACGGAAACTCACTACTGCTGTTACTGCTTATACTAATCATTCTACTTTTAATTAAACCTCTTCCATTCCCTGTACTACTGTCTTGACTGGCGCTGCACTAGTACACTCACATTCAAATATGCCGCCCAGCAGAACAGAGTCTATTTCTTGCAAATGGATTCCAGGCATCAAGGCCCCTCCCCAGAGGATGGCGAACTCCGAGACTGATTATGCACTCCTTCGGAGATTCGACACCATCTTTCTGATCGATGATAGCAGCAGCATGAGAGGTCAAAACTGGAAAGAGACTCTTGATGCTCTGGTTAATATCTCACCAATTTGTACCAGAAATGATCCAGACGGCATTGATATATATTTTCTAAAACACCGTAACCCGAAGGATACTCAAGGAGCCTTTAGAATGCTCACCACCCCTCAAAGTGTCGAAAACATCTTCGAATCTGTCTATCCACACGGAGACACGCCAATCGGGGCTAGACTGAAGGCAATCCTAGGGCCCTATATGGAAGATCTTGCCGAGTCACTACGATATAGAGGAACAAATACAGACTCTATTTCAACAGTTCGGCCTATCAATATTATTGTTATTACTGATGGCAAGCCAACTGATGGGTTAGAAGACGATCTCGTTGCTACTATTGTAGCCACGGCAAAGCAACTAGATGATTGGCATGCGGACGAGTGGCAGGTTGGAATCCAATTCTTCCAGGTCGGCCATGATAAAGAAGTAACTAGGTACTTGGAGTATCTAGATGATGACCTTTCAGAAAACCACGGAGTCAGAGATATAGTTGACACGGTGACCTGGGATAAAGATCCTGGTGAACTTTCTGCTGACACTATCCTAAAGGTGGTACTGGGAGCTGTTCACCGAGGTTATGACCGTCAGCGAGTCAGAACAAGCTTCCAAGCTTGACAGATTGACATGAACTAATTTGATTGAAGGGTTTGGAAAGCCTCGAAGCTACAGGGCCAAGAATGATAATATGGATGACTTTTCATCTTCAAAACACATTTCGCAAGTGTTGGCATATGAAAAGTATAATGGGCTAAAAGCTAACTGGACTGGACTATGTATCTCATTGATTTTTTGTTTGCTGTGCTAAAATTGGACATATTCACTCGTGATATATCTTGCCATTTGAAGGTTAATTATGATTTACTAGCCGATCATAACCACTAGATATGGCCAAAACATTTTATCGAGTCCGCACAGCAATTGGGGTTCCTGCAAATAATCTCATATCTACAATACTAAACGCTCTCTCTATTTTCAATTGTTTGTTTACAGTTAGAGAGAACAAAAGTACATCATCGGATTTGAACACTAAATAGTATGATTTAATATTGATTTAAGATAGCTCAGATATTTCTAGACTTAGGTGCATTCCTCTCTCTTAGTGGTATATGATCTTTAGTTGAGCTTTTATTATGTGGATCTGGCTGGTTGTCATACGACGTACCAAGAAAGCGAAAAGATTCCGCAAGCAGATAGAGTTTGACAGAGTTAAATAATACCCCATAAATCAACAACGGTTGAATACATGGATCTGACCTTATCAGAGATGCACCTATTCAAATTCTCTGTTCACGATTGACTGGTGGTGTGACTGTTCTTGGCAATTCCCTCAGCTTTTCTGTTGCCAATATTCGGCTCTTGGCAAACAGAAAAGTTTTCTCTTATGATACATTTACACAGCGGTCACACCACTGGGCTATGCATTCATTAGCTGTGAAATTGGATGTAGCCTGATCCCTTTAACTTTGCACATTACATCGTCAAGTATACTAACATGGGGAAGAAGGATGAAAGACGCATGTTCATGTCCAACTTATCCTGCTGTATAATAATTGTTTTTACAATGAGAAATACTTCACATGAAAACGTACAATATCAGTTATCTTACAGGATGTCAACACCTCCTGGTTTTGAGTGAGTTTTAGCGTAATTTATGTCTTTCGGCTGCTGAGAAAGTTGAGATAACTATATATTGGACATAGGTGACATGAACAATATGGAAAGACAGCCACATATCATATACCTTGTCATTATGACTATATGTATTTTGCCCAAACGATTCGCATAGGCAACCATGGGAAACATGGTATTATAATATCATCGACCTTTCTGGTCCTTGTGAAGAAAAAGAAAATAAAGGAAAATAGCGGCCGAATCAGATCAACTGGTCAAGTAGACGAGTACCGTACAATATATTCTTATCATGCCACATTATCCCTTAGGGGTTCGTTATACCTTCAGTGCTACCAAGATAAAATACAAAACGCTGACAAGAAGACCAATCAGTTCCGGGAGCCTTGCAAAATATGTTTTATTATATATATCCATAGTAATAAGAAGCCCACACAATAGGTTGTGTGGAGGTGGCATCCGCGTCTAGTAACCGGATAGAGGTGTATTTATTCGAAGAAACCTTCTGGAGAATCTAGATTGTGTGTCTAAAACCGAAGTAAAACTTTAAAGAAAAGGAACCAGTAGCAACCTAGGTATTAGATCCTAGTTTCGCTAAATCAACCAATTTCTCACACAGCTACCGGTCCTTGTATGCGACCATGGATTGGATACCTGTCGGAAAAATGCGCGACGAGATCTCATGTACAACAATTACATTTATATGCAACCTTTGCCTTTAACAAGGTAAAGCTAGGGAATAGAGGATTAGTATCTTACGACTACCGATCTGAGTACTGGAACAGGCTCTGTTTCAACATCAGCTTTCCGCACAGACTTGTTCCTGTCAGTTGTGACTTGTGCGATCTCGAATATACTGGCAGATACACAACACGACCTTCATTTTCCAGACCAACATGAGCGCACTTTTTGTCCAGTGCTTGATTCAGTTGGTATTAAGATTACTTGAGTACTGTGGTGGCATTGCAGACTTACCTCCATCCATGGTATTGGTACGCCATGTATGATTCTTGAATCGACCGGCTTTTTATGATTACTTCAGCTGAGCCTAGGCGCCTTTCGAATACGTAAGGGACTTCGACTTGAACTATTATCATAATAAGTTACACACACTAACGACGATCCTGGTATTAGCCGGTTCAGCACCTTGCTTCCGCTCTGAGGTGCAATCATACTATTATACCTATACTACGTGTCAGTAGAATGCATGTTACCGGGGATGTCAAATAGCGGTCAAATAAGTTAACAATGAACCAATCAGAAAAGCGTGTATTGAGATTAGGTGAGATACATTTCTTGCTCCTACACACCAATTGCATGGATTGACCATATATCCTACCACCTAGATCAATACATGGGCAAAGGCCGATACATCCCGCTTTGAGAAAGCCAAACTACACTTGTGTTATCGCCACATCCGGTGGGTGTGTTCTCCGTTCCAAGCATATCAACAGAGCTGCGATGGTTCGTTTAACCTGCTTCCTAGACGAGTCCTCTTTTCCATATAATTGCGGTAGTCTGGTTGCTACTTTCATTCTGTATATGGTGGTTATGTATCCCTTCGCTGAACAGCTACTTTGCCTATTGAACATCATGATTGACTGATGAGGGTTGAAGTCTGAGATCTCGACTTCAACGAAGGTCCGGAACCCTGTTTGCTTGAAACTATCACTCACGCAGCGAGATAGCGGTGTTATACTTCTGAAATCCTTGTAGCAAGAGGTAGACCGTAACATACTACTAACTATTGTGCTCGGCTAATCCTGATTAAGAGCTGCTTTTATAAGAACAATCCCAAGGGTTGAACTAAATGATGAAACACAAGCGGGAGCAAGGAAAGCACAAGAACAGTCTCGTGGCCGTACCCCATCCAACTACATGTCAATATCCATGGTCATGGATGCGGCCGCAGCGGAAATGTTGGTCACAGAAACCCCGGTCGCTTGCCCAGAGTATGACTGACTATTCGGCCTAGAGGTGTTGGTGAAGGATCGATTATCAGTTGCTCCCGGGTAGGGGTCCCCAGCGTCACCCCTACCGGAAGTCGACGTCGCAAGTTGATTTAAGCCATCCGCTTGCTCCATGGCAACTAAATAGTGGGTTTCATCACTGTTGTCCCCTTGTGAGTCATCGATATGCCAAACTGTGAAGATTAATAAATATCTGCGGTAGACCTGGGTGAGACACATACTGATCAGACCAAATCCTGGAAGGGAGCGGTCAAAGCCAACAGCGGCACGGTTCTCAAGCAGGAAATACTCTTCGCTGGCGGTATCTCCACCAGTCCATAATCGGTAGACCTCATGGTTCGTCGTTACATCCCGCAATATGATCCCCTGTGGCCTATTCGGCTTATGGACCCTAACCCACCCCTGCGACGCTTTACACCAGGCGGAGGGATGACATGGCTGAACACCTGGTGGCGAACCTCCCCATGAACCACCCGCCATAAGACACCAACTTCCAATTCCCTCGGAGCTATTGTCCGTGTCATAGAGATCAGGCCACCCAAACACTAGATGGCCCAGCTCGTGAGCACAAACACCAAGATATGCGTCTTCAGGGATCGTGAGGAACCCATATACATGAACTCCATTGGCGGAGACAGAATTGGGCAACACCCACTTGAGTGACCAGATGTCGTTTGAATTTCCCGTCACTTCTGCCCCTCGTCCAGCATGAACCACAATGAATGCATCCACATAACCGTTGTTATCGTTGTCATATTGACTAAAGTTTATGTGGCTTCTGGCTGCGTCGAGCGCATCAGCGGCCAGGGTTCGCGCATTGGGAGGCATGGAGGAGGTCCCGCTTTCACCATTGGCGTACTCACGAAGTGTTCGCGGCATACCAAATGGACCCAGGACCACACCATCTAAGGAGATTGTGCTGTTACTCACCTCTGAGAAGTATTCGGTAACACTTCCCGTGGTGATCTGCCCCGTCGAGAAAAAGAGATCCTGAAAACGCTGCGTAGCGTTTCGTGACATCCTCTGGTCTGGAAAATCGACAAGCACGACCGCGATCCTGTTGGATTCCGCAGTAAGTTTTATGGTTTTAGGAAATCGGGGAAGGGGGTCACTACGCACTGGACGACTCCTCTGAGGGGTGTCCTTCTTAGAGCAGCCCTCCTCATGCGCCTGGGTGGTACTGTCGCGGCGAAGTCCGAGTCAGGAAAAATTGTCCCATCATTCATACCACGTACGGTCCCAGTTCTTGCGCTCAGGGAGGGGCGTCCGAAGCTCATTTTGGATATGTGTGGCGCCGAAATCAACCCAGGCGCAACCTGAAGGGACGAGAGCAGCTGCGGGTGTGGGGGCATCAGTGATGGCTTTGATCCCTCATCGTCACAGTTGGCTTCCATGCTGAGGTGTAATGTTTCGGTCTGTTCCAAATAAAGACGTATTAACTGGTGGTATAATAGGTGAATTTTGTCGAGAGGCTTTACGAAAATTGCATGTGTTTATATTCGAATAAACGAGCGGAGAGCCACCCCATACATTTGAGTGCTCCGCTTTACAGATGTTCTAGGCGATCTAGATTTGTTTGTCTGACTCTAGTGTTGTCCATGGGCTTAAATGGGGTGAGGTGGTGCCCTCTATTATAATTGGTTGTGTGGGACCAGTACACAATTGCTTTTATACAAACAAACGTTCCGATATACGAGGCATGATTCCTGCTGGGCAGTCAGACGACTGGTACAATTTTCTAGTCATCATATATCGATGTCGAAGAATGTGTCTTGCCATGGGATGTTCACGGATCTAGGCCGTTCAGACAATACGGTCCACTTGGCAACTTTAGTGTTGATACACGGTTCCAAAGATGATCATTGTCCAGGCTGGCTGGTCTGCTATTCGCTGTGGTAGGGCATAAGATTTGACTTCCGTGAGCGACTACTAGTACCGAACCCGAATATATCCAAGGAAAGGCATGCCTTGCACAACGGATTAATTGTCTTGGCATACTCCAATTCTAGCACGTTATTAGCTAAGGTGCAACTCAAGTCGTCACAAACCTAAATTCTAGTGATGCACTGCGCCGCGACTCAGAGAGGTCATTTTAGACATTATTACAAGTTTTATTGTAGAGTAACACAAATAACCCGGATTTTAGGGAGACTGGCTGGTCGCCAAAATAATTCGGATCGGAGGATACAAGGACAATAAAACAAAGTATTTCTCAGGAGAATTTGCCAACCTCTCACTCCAGATGAGAAGCCTAAGACCTTGTTACATTTATCAGTGGCTATACTGAAGCGACCCCTGGGCCCAATTGAGCACTGGTGGATTTAGTGCCCTTTGGCAACGTTTGGCCCATGCCCACCCACCTAAATAGCCCTAAAGTACGGAGGTGTGTTCCTAAAGTAATCAAACTGCGCTAGTAACATTGGCCTCAGGCCGAAGTAAGGCCTTTACTATACACTTTAATGGCACATGACCTGAAACCAATGGAAAAGACCCCTACTTTTTGAAGAGACACTCAATTGGTCAGTAATCACATGACAAGAAAACAAAGGTGATTCCTATTGGCTTTAGGTCACGTGCCATTAAAGTGTATAGTAAAGGCCTTACTTCGGCCTGAGGCCAATGTTACTAGCGCAGTTTGATTACTTTAGGAACACACCTCTGTATATGCTAGGGATTCGAATGTCTAAGGCACGACCTTAGTGCCATGGTGTTTTGGTCGAGTGGTATTGAGAATATATATATAGCAGGGAACTTTCTTGTCAGATGGACATCTACTATTATATATAGGAACTGCCCTCTTGGCATTAAATATATGTGCTGATATTTATATATATTCTATATTCTACATCTACCAATAGTTTATGTTATTGTAATTCTATTAGATTTACCCTATCGTTTCTAATAGTTCAGTTGACCCTTCGTGGGATTTGCCACCAAGGTCAGAATAATCCCGATATGTGTGCCCGTCCTCCGCATATCGGGGGCCATGGTCGTGGCCGCTGCTGGGAGAAGTGACTGTGCTGCCCCGCCGACAAGTCCGTAGATAACCACAAAGATATACAGCCCGCTTATTGTGCGAACGGCCATCCACGCATGGGTAACAATCGCGGACACGAAGCTAAGGGGGATAAGGATATTAAGCTCTCCTGTTAGGCGGTCGCCTATCGGCCCAGGGGCGATCCGGCTGGCAACACCGACACCGTTGGGGATTAGAATAAAGTTCTGTGTTTCCGGGACATTGAGGATATCGCAGGCAAAGGTACCTATATAGAAGAAGGCGAAGTATAGTCCCCAGAAGTTGAGGAAGGAGGGTTCTTTCAAAGGGGTAGTGTCAAATAGAGGTCCTGGGGTGCGGGCAGAGAATCACGGTTTGAAAAGGATAAGGCCTGGAATTTGCGTTACAAGCATCATGAGTGCGGCAGCGCGCGCTGTCCACCCGAATGAAACGTTCGTGTAGATCATCTAGTTGATAAGTATCGGGTAGATCATCCCCCTTGTTACTGCTCCCGCTGCAGCCAGGCCGACAGCGTCAGCACCGTGTCGCGAGAAACAGGAGGACATGACTGCTAGACCAGGGCTGAATGCAAGACCGTTTCCCAAGCCCTTTGCACACGGCTTGGGCGAGGAATATCTGCCTAGGTGTTTTACATAGGGAGAGCATAAAGAATCCCAGGATCTAGAGAAACACACCAGCCGAGTATCACAGGCAAAAGCATCCCGCGTCTCTTGCTCCACCGGAGATTATGCCGAGGAAGAAGAGCAGGGGGACTTGGAAGCTTCCAACCCAGCACATCTCAGACGAAGATTTCGGCAGGGTCTCAGTGTAGAGTTGCTGAAGCCATTCCTTGCGCCCCAGGCGTTGAAGACAAAATATGCATGCAGAGAACTTGGAGCCATGGTGTGAGGCCGCCGTATGGCGGTGGCGGCTGTGCTGGATCGGTTAAATGGGTGGGTTAATCCGCGTTCTCCGATGCATTCTTGGGGGGATAGCAGCGTCGCAAACTCTCTCAGACGGGTAGAAAGCATGATGTCGCGCGTCCTGGTTGGAATCAGTCGAGTCGAAGTAGAGCATTAGGGTTACTACAACTGTAATATTTTATAAATTATACTATGTATATATCTAAATATTATCTTTCTGGTAAAATTCTATCAGTCCAAATATTTGCTGCTTTTATTGTTATTGTAGCCACTATATTACCTGGCAGTGCCGCACTAGACCAGGGTCTGTAACAGTTCACCTTAGTTGGGTATAAAAACTCCATTAACCTAGCCACATCCTAGCCACACGCCAGTCTACTCTTAGTCCCAGGTCCAGCTATCTAGACTTCTTGTTGCTGAGATATCTAACATTTACAAGTGGCTATTTGATATGGGAAACTAGAGGTGCGCCGATATTGCTATCGCATTGGAAGAAAGACCAATAATGGCCTACTTTATGGCCAAACATTTGATAGACCACAGACCCTGAAACCAAGCCTGACAGTGATGCGTCCAGTTTTCTAGCTTGTGGTGATTTGTGAGAAAGGGAGGTCTTGAAATGGGAGTGTAAAAGTCAAGGTCAAATGAAGAGGCGCACATACAAAGTAATGTAGCTCTAGCTCATGCCTACTAGGTGGCTACATGTGGCTATCAGCTTGAGGGGCCAAAGTCAGAGAGATTATTAGGCCAGCCTTTCGAGTGTATGCGGCATACACTTGCGGCTTAGTACGTAATACCAAACACAGTGCACTTAATTCAGGACAATCCTAACTAGTATCAATAGTCACCAACAGCACTGATGAATTTAGACATATCTAGCGCCTAACGAATGACGAGAATATTGGCACAAATCCACTATTGCACAATAAAAGAAATTCAGCAGAGATGTAGATGTTGAATCCTTCCACTGACTCGACCCCTCGGCCTTGACAAACTAGACCGCCATCGTAGTTGCGGCTAATATACCACTCCAGTACGATTGGTAGTGTACTCAGTGGCCCATCAACTTAGCAGACAGCTCCGCCATCATTACCGCCGTGGCAGGTGCCGCTGTGGCAGTCTTGGATCTCAGTCCACTTGCCCCCCTTGCACTGTACCTGTTCACAGAAAGGTGCGTTAGCAAAGATGACCTGATCATTTAATCCGGTTGACCGGGATATGTTAACATACAACGCCTGTCCTGTCACAGCCGCAGAAGTGTCTATCTCCGTTGGACGATGCACAAGGGCTATTGGTACGTCTCTGGTCACCACCATAGCCAGCGCCGCAGGTGTCCAGGATCTCGAAGTCGTTTTGAGGGACTGCTGAAGCGCTGACGGCAGTAGCAGCAAGGAGAGTGTAGAAGATGGTGGTGGCCTTCATTGTTGAGGATGTGTTGGTATTCAGTGGAACGACGTTTGATTTGAGGTTGTTGGTTGTCCAAGAGGCTTTGGTATCTGTGAGAGTCTCATTCTTGAGGGGATCTTTAGATATATTTATACCCCTTTGATGAGCGAGGCCAGTCCCTCTTGGGACAATTACCTAAGATTGAATGGTTCCTAAAGTACGGCAGCCAACACTGCGTGATGAAATATCATTACTGCTTTAAGAAAACCCATATGTCATCACTTCCAATCTTTGAGAGCCCGCTTACGGGCCAAATTAGGCGGATTGCTACCTTCGGGGGATCCGTAACCTTTGCTATGGAGATGTTAGTAGATTGGTTATGCAAGTGTTTTGCCGAGCCTGGCCTCAAGAGCCACACAAAGGACTCTATGACGTATAACATACACCAAATATGTGATAGATTTCAATGTGATACAGTAATTTAAAACACTAGGCTCCTTTAGCAACACACGAACGCCTAACGCTTTCCATATAAAGGTGGCTATAGGATACCGTCGGCCTTATTATAGTTCTGGATATATGAGAGCATGGAAAGAATATCTTCCGTCTTTGATGATAGACCACACTCCATTGGGCTTTCTATCTAATTCTAGCACCATTGACGGAAGTGTCCTGGCTTCCTAGGTGCAAATGCGAGATGTCGTGTGTGTCGACTACTGCATTGGGACCGCGTTGCCTTACGTATTCTGAAGGGTATCACCTTGTAAGACCTAATCAGAAGGATCCTGCCACTTTTGCACAGCCCGAACGCCAATGGCAGTGAGGCTCCGCAGAATAAGGAAAATGCCATCCTCCATACCTGTACTACATCCTATAGCACAGTGGGAGGCACCTTCTTGCAGTAATGCCAGGTAACATCTTCCCCTCAATGTGCCCGAGGTGGATCCACTTGTAGTGCGAGACCGCAACCTGATCCTTGAGCAAGGCTCGGTTGTTGCCTCTGACTCTCCCAAACGCAAATCTGTAAGAAACCAAGGTGAGAAGATTTCCTCTTCTGACATAAGGCCTAAGCAGTCTGGGTAGTTCCCGGGCAGGTATTTCTACCAATGACTGATTAGGTGATGTTCAACTAATGTGCTATACCCAGCGGCTCGATAATACAATGTGCATGAGATGGGGTGCCTCATATGCTAGCGGAGCAAGATAGGAAACTCATACGACATAGCGTATGAAGCCTAGCATTAACCACTGAATACATCGGTTGTATGCGGTGTTGTTCCTGGCCTGTAAGCTCCGCTATCAAGCTCATGTGTCAATTTATGAATTGCCACATTAGAGGGAGTGTGTTATCAGTGCGTAGTCCCCGTGAACCGAAATCTTCCACTACTACCCAGGACTCCTTCCAGAGAAGCTGGCAGCCTTATGGCCCCATCTCGGTGAAACAGTTAAGACTTGGATCATGATTATTCAACTTTTGAGAATAGTGGCATATACAGTACCAGGCGTCAAAGCGTTCACAACTAAACTTAGTATACCTTTGAAATTCCAAGGATGGAGCACAAGATACGGTAGCTAGCTCTGTTGCAGAATACTCTAAAGTGCCGGAGGCCCTTTGTTCTGGAGAAGTGGCTTTATGCAAGTTATGCATCATCAGACTGATGTTTAGCATGGGCATGTGAACCAAGTGGATATACCCGAGAAACCTGTTTGCTACGAGACTCTCGACTCTAAGGTCTGCTCGGGGCCAACTCACGAGCAGATAACATCGATCAACACACCCAAGAGTGTTCTCCCACTAATTGCATGTATCGTGGACAGAGACTTTCTACCTTTCAGCATCTCGACCAAAGTCCCAAGCCGCGCCCAATATGCAGTCGTGATCCTTTTTCATTTTTAATAATTTTGCTTTCTCAAATGATTACACTAGCAACCTAAGGTACAAGGAATAGATGGGGAGTTTAATTAAAAAATTGGTAGGGCCCGATTAGTACGCCATTGCATGTTGATCTTCTGTGGGGAAGGATAGCTAATGGCCCAGGCAAACCTTGCAAAGTATGTGCTGGAGTAGCATACAGCGCCGTATAATATCACTTGTTGATTTCCATTGGTCGATTCTTTTTCACTTTTGGGAATATCTCGCGAGCCTACCACTTAGGGTTCTTCCGCCCTGGAAGTGGTTGATTGGTGCATGTTATCCAGAGTGGCGAAGCCCTGCTATCCTGGAGGGAAATGAGTGACCGACTTGCTGCCGTATGAGACCTGCATCTGTTACAGGGTTGGTTCTCCAATGAGAAACTACGCAGGCGCAGTCAGTTTAAGGACAAGGTTACATCCGACACATCCGTTCCTTTCTTAATTTTTTGCCTAACTCCTAAGTGGCATAGTGCCCTTGTTGGATTCCCTATCTGTATAAGCATTATCGTGGAGCGACGCCTGTGCCGAGGTGCTCATTCGCTGGTGGGTTTGGCTTACGATGCGCACACTTTTAATGTGGGTGCCATAAAAATGCGCTTCATGTCCGACTGGGTCAATATTAGGGTCCTTGGGCAAGGGGTCATGGAATTGAAACCGGCTCGTCTCTCCATCTCAAAGGTCCAATGAAACGTGTTGTTAGGCAGGTAACCATAGTGGTATAGAGAAGGGCAACAATCGATCAATTTTGCTCGGAATAACAGTGGCCCTAAGACCATTCCGAAAGGAGTTAGGCATAGGGTCTCGTTCTCGGTCGAGCGTGGCTCCACTATCTGGTTTCCAAGATCAGGATCGGTGGTATGTAATAGAACCATACGCACTTACCCATCTGGGTTAACTGGAAAGTTTGACTAAGGGCTCTAAGTATTAGTTTCAGGGGCGCGCCCGCAGCCGCCGAAAGGCCTCTACTAGCGCGTGGGGTCTGAATTTGAACGCTCAACCCGGGGTCCGAGCCTAAAAGTAGAGCTCCCCCAACCTATCCTGACGGGACTTCAGCTCGGCGGCTGAGCTGCCGCTGCACCCTACTCAAGACTCGCTGGGCCCCCGCATGATAGTACATATTTGATCACATACAAAGGCACTTACGGTTCTGTACGGATGTACTCCGCATGGAGGACCACCAATGACTGCTGTAGTATGTGTATCCACACGCTAAGTCTTTATACCTAATGCCCAATTTGGGACAGGAGGAAATGCCGATACTCGAAACAGCGAATTGTGTTTCTTAAAAGACAACAAAACATTAAACCTGGTTGACAGGATCTCCATCCCAACGGTACTGGCATGCTGAGAGGCGGTGCCTTACTCCGGATACAGAGTCGATTGGGAGCAGACAAGCGAGGCAGTAATGTAGGAATAAAATCCGGAGCAAAAGAAGCGAGTAGAAGAAGTGGCTGTGTGATAGAGTTACATTCGTGGAAGAACGTAGTGCGGCATGTGTGCACATCAACGAGTCTAACTTGTGCCCCCTCAATCATGCCTAGCGAAAACCTCTATCCGTACTTCAGCTACAACCTTGGGTGGGCCGAGTCTCTCGTGTAGTAATTGTGAGTCGGCGTGCATCAGCCAAGAAATGCCCGCCGCGAAAGGGTGCGCTCTTAACAGCCTCAAATTGCTCCGAGATACTAAGGCTAGTTTACAGCCGTAAAGACTCAACCTTCATGGAAGGCTGTCATCTGTGTTTACCTCTATCGGACCCCTGTATTTTGTATAACTGGTTCACGGTACTTCAATGCCGAGCAAAAAATATCACCATGCCCAATAGGTAATGTAGATCATTTATCAATATATCAAATGCACAAGACATGTTCGAATAACCTACGCATTTTCGTATGCCAGACATAATATTCCTTGACTTCCCAGTTCTCACCTCGCTCTGACTACACCGTAGCAGCGAAGGGACCTGTCAGAATCACGCACCGTCCCCCATTTTGTCCCATGCTTTCCCTGAAAATGAACTCCCGCCTTGCCGGCGCCGCTTTGTACATGACCTAGCTGTCTTTATCATGGCCATTACAAGTAGGATGAGCAGAATAATGTTCCATATCACTGTGTGCCCTTTTAGGCCAGTCTCTTCGCTGACCTGACCTCGCCATTTTCGATTTTCAGAATCGTCAAGATCCTGCCTGCCTGGTCCATATACCGGTTGAGATCCTGGCTTATAGTGTTCATCTTGCTCCCGAAGCCATCGTTCATAATCGGTTTCCGGCCTGAAGGAATCCTCCGCCGGTGCAGAAGGCATCTGCACTTTTGAACTGTTGACGACGGAGCGACTGTTAGTGGCGTGGTATGGGTTTAAAGATATGAATTGTGTTCCCACCTTGAGAGCAAGAGAATATGCGTACTCTGAATATACGTTAGACTCCTTTCTTGTCGTCTGGCCGACTCCTGGTTATGAGGTCGTTGTACTTGAAAGTAATGGCTGTGTTCTTTCCCCAGATCGCCCTGATCAATAGCGAGGGGTCGCTATTGCTGGGATGAGCTAGCCGAGTCTCCGCTAGTGACATAAACTGCTCGGCGAAACAAAAGTCCTTTGCCAGATAAAAATCCAAAACCAACACTACAGCTGTTGCTAAGTCTACGAGTGGCATTCGCTGGTCTGATCCCTGATAAGGCCCCCAGCGCCTAACCATGCACTAATCTTTCAGATGTAGAGGAGAGGATCCCTGCAAAGCGACAGCGCTGGGCGCATACCCAAGTCTTCTACACGAACGGACCAGTGATACTGAATCCCATGTTTCCAATATGTTGGCCTTGTTTCCATCCACATGCCTACTAGTACCTTTCACATCCCACCTGTAAGAGCTTTGTTCCAAGACGTTGCAGTCGACTGAAGAAATCGTAATACGAGACGTACTAGGTATCAAATCAAGGGAGTCCAAAAATCACATTAGCGGGACCCACAGACAGGGGATATAACAGGTTTAATGGAGATATCGACAAGGACAAGTGTCAGCAAACCCCAGCGTTGTAAGAACACGACCCGAAGCTCGCAGATGAATGGAGGAATATTGATGCTTTGCTTTTTGTTTTGTTTTGTGGTGTTTTTTTATTTTTATTTTTAGTTTTGCCGCCAAGGCGTCGTCCAGTAGCAGAATAATCAGCTAATTGTCATGTTCTCAGTAATACCCTTGAACAGAATGTGGAAAATTGAACGATTGGCTTGGTAAATATTGCGATGTCTCAAACCCAAGGTTAGAAAATCGTGTCCGTAGCGAGGAAGGATAGGGGAGTATGGCATCGGCGCTCTACGAAGAGCGTACCTACAACATAGCATCAGTCGACACAATCCTCTTGCGGCGTCTGCCCACGGTGCTAGCGTATATGATGGGCTGTTAAACCCAGTGCATTGGCCACCGAGGCGGCAAGATCGCACTAATTCGTCTAATGGAAGTTGGATTGGCATGGACTGTCTGACATCGTTCATAGTCGTTGTCGTGGAACCATGATAGTTTCTAGTTTACGTGATTGGTTGTAAAGATGGGCCAGCTGCTGCGGCTTCAGGGGCACTCTGGATTCCATGGGCAGGGACTTGGGACAGCATGTTTCCCACCTTCCCCGTGCTACTTTGTTTTCCCAATGGAACCACCGGATCCATATGCTGATCGACCTGTCAGAAATAATCCTGCAGCCGTAGAACCAAACGTGTGCGGTTCGGAAGGGATTGGATGGGTATATATCGCGGCAGTCGACGTTGGCGCACCGGCAGCTACTCGGAACATTGCAAAGTACGACCGGGCGGAGGACGCAGTTTTTGTCCCATTTGATAATAACAGTCAGAGGGGCGACAGTAAACGGTGTGCACAGACCAATCCCTTCCAGTGCCTGTCCCATGGGCACAAAGAATGAATACCGCCAACGCTGCGCCTATAGCTTCAAGAAGCACCGGGCAGTAATTCAAGCTTCCGAAGATGCTCGTCGGTTCACTGCTAACCGAGCCATCTATACACAACCGCCGCTACAGCAAGTCCGAATGCGCAGAAAATGTAAGAACCCACAGAGATAGTGATCATCCGATGGGGACCCAGGTGAACCATTTAGTGTTCAGATACAGAGCAATTGCCAACAGTAACCGTAGAGTTGACTCTGTAAAATAGATATGCCTCTGAAACTGGAAATCTACGGTTTTTTATATCTTAGCACGTTTCCTATGATATACAATATATCGTGGACTTCTTTCTTCGGAATATCAGGTATAATTGCCAGTTGACTTATCGCAATCGCAGATAAATAGGAGATCGTCTACTACTGGATTCATGAACTATCAATCTATCTAAAATGTTCTAATAGACTCTCGATATATGAGTTATATGTTATGATAGTCTAAGTTAGATAATCAGAGAAGCGATTATACTTGAGCACTCATGAAGTTCTCAGTAACATTTAACTGACTTCTTAACTTTGCTAATAAGATTAGTTTGTGACGGTTTATTGTAGTAGCTATATGCTAATCGAGAAATTCTATAACGATAGAATATAATATTATCAGAGTGGCATAACCTAACTGACCCCGGCTATGTGAAGATATAAAATCTATTAATTGGTCCGCTGATCCATATACCAATACCCTGTATCAAGGAGCCACTAGAAATCGAATGCGGAATTTAAATGGTCAGTTCATCCAAGTAACAGACTTTGTTTTCAAAAACTCATCCAGGCCATCGGCACCTCCAAATCGACCATAACCACTCGATTTCACACCCCCATGAGGAAGAACAGGTTCATCGTGTATTGTCATTGAGTTGATGTGGACCGCACTGTGAGCTCAATTAGTGGTTCTTCCATTTGGCTCCAATGAAGCATGCAGTTAGACATTACCCTGTATCTAGCTCACGGGCTATCCTCAGCCCTCGTCCTAGATTCTCAGTGAAAATAGCAGTACTAAGGCCATAATCAGTGTCGTTTGCCAATTGTAAAGCTTCTGAATCGCTGCCGACTATGAATAGGGATGCAGTTGGGCCAAAGGATTCACTGTAGTATAGATCCATACTCTTGGTGACACCTTCGACGACAACAGGTCGCATGCCGGTGTTAGAGTCCACCGGAGTATCCAAGATACCAGCCAGGATGTTTGCACCCTTGGATGTGGCATCCTTGACCAGGGACTTATTCCTTTCCACGGGGACTGGACTTATAAGTGTGGGAGCTGGCTTGTCGTCACCGTAGATTTTGTTGATGGAGGATTTCAAAGCAGTGCGGAAATCGGCAACCACGTTGCGATGCACAATGATTCGTTCCGTCGACATACATACTTGTCCAGCCTGCGACAAGCCCCAAACGGTAAGCCTCTTTTGATCTCCAATGGATTGGGGGGGAGTAGTCTTACATGCAAGAATGCGCCTAGTGTGCAAGCATCCGCTGCCTTCTCGAGGTCTGCATCATCTAGCACAATGCAGCTTCCTTTACCACCCAACTCAAGGATCACAGGCTTCAAATATTGACCTGCTGTTGCAGCAATAATGCGTCCAACAGGGGTACTGCCGGTAAAGCAAATCTTCCGGATCTCTGGTGCAGCGATGAGTGCCGTCGTCACCTCTGCCGCATCACTGGTGCGGTGGACGAGGACATTTACACAGCCAGCCGGAAGGCCAGCCTGACGGAACACGTCCCCAATAGCCCAATAAGACTTGGGAGCTAGCTCGGCACCCTTCAAAATCATAGTGTTGCCGGCCGCCACCGCCAATGTCGCTTTACGCACCCCAAGGATGAAGGGAGCGTTCCTAATTAACTAGTTGTCAGCAATACCACTACAATTTGCAGGAGGTGCAGAGACAGAAAATGGCTCATGCTTACCATGGGGCAATTCCAAGCATTGCACCATACGGCTCCTTGTATACAATCGCAGTCGCATCTCCGGCTAGCATTGGCGAGTATCCATTGATGCTTGACACCTTTCCCGCGACATCGGTGACCAAATTGATCCCGGCCGTGATGCTAAAATCAGCGAACGCCCTCTCGGCACCCGTCTCCTCTATCACATAGCCTAAAAGCTCTTCACGACGTTTCTCCATAAGCTCGGCTACCCGCAACAGTACCGCCCGTCGAACAGCAGGCTTAGACTTGGACCATGAGATAAAGGCCGCTTGGGCCGATTCCACAGCTTTCGCGGCCTCTATGACGGATGCACTGCTGGAATGGTGGACTAATAGTCCAGTCCCCGGGTTTCTCACTTCGAAAGTCGAGGCGGTCTGGACATCTTCGTTATCGATGATGAGGGGGACAGTGGATAAACTCATGATGCGTTCAAGTGTTTAATTTATTCCCAATACCTGAAGTCAGGGTGTTCTCCGGAAGCAATGTGGACTTGCGAGGGTCATTTATAGATTGGATGATATCGAAGGCGTGGTAGTATAAATTTCCTCAAAGTCGCCACCCTTTGTCACTGCTGACATTTCGATGGCGCATCGCCGCTCACATCATCATTGCCTTATGCCCGCCTACCTAATAGAACATCCAAAGCCACCAATTCGGGACTTGGAATGTGCCAATCGGGTTCTCGGAGTTCCTTCGTGATCTCGGAAGACACGGAAAGTTCGGGAAGGTCGGGAATCGCCGCTGGGGCTTACTCACTCTTGGGTGCGTGTCACTATATCAAGACGGGGCTTTTTGTTGGCCACTACCACCAGAAGGCTTGGTGAGAGGCTATAGTATAACCAGACGTAACCGGAAATATGGCAGGAAATATCTATCAGGGAAGCTGTCTGTGTAAGGCAGTAAACTTCACCGTCTGCGACAGTCCAGAGAAAGTGTTTATCTGCTACTGCCAGGACTGCAGGAAGAACTCTGGGGCTCCGTACCAGCTCGTATGTACTCTCTCTCCCCCTGAGACACAAAATGGTCAATAACAAGGGCATTAAAGTGTGCCAAATTCCACCGCAGCCAAGTGCAGGTCGAAGCCAACGGGGACAAGAGTATCGGCACATGGGTTGTCACCAAAACTACTAGTGGAGCAGAAAAGCATAAAAAGTTTTGTATCAGATGCAGCTGCACATTGTGGACGATTCCAATGAATCATGGGGGTGAACACATTATCGTGCGTGGGGCCCTCATTGATAACGGGTGAGCACTCTGTTTGTACCTCAAAACCCATTACTGAATGCTGAGATCTTCTCAGACTGGAAATATTTTCACCTCAAGCGGAATTCTTCGCCGGCTGCAAGCCGTCGTGGGTCAAAAGCCCAGACGATGTTAAGTCGTTTGCAACCATGCCTGGTCGTTGATGTATGCGTATGTGGAACTCAGTAAAGTGCATATTCTTCTTCCTGATGTTATTGGTTTTCGTCTTTCCTTTAGCTGGAGGAACAAATAACGATCCATCTACCCAGGTGGCGTCCTACGTATAATTACAATTTTGCAGGTGTTAAACACTCTGTAGACCGATTTTCGTATACATTATTAGAATTACACAACCCTCAAAACTACACAAAAGTAAACCTCACATTATTGTCCGGTTCTGAACCTTCTCTTCTATAGCTTTGTGCACAAATTAGGAGAATTGAATTATTGACTTCGCGCCTGGGGCAGCAGAAAGAAAGGGGCAGGCTAAAACGTGGTCTTAAAGGCCCAGCGAGGAGTAGCTAGGTCCCTAGGGCCTGGGGGAACTTCAAAATAGCCTTACTGAGGTCAACGGATGCAACGGACGTTTTCAAACCCCTTCGTCCGAGCCACTCGGAACGCGTAGGTCCCCAGAGTCTCCGGTCACTCCGGAAAACTGGCGTTCAAGTTCCATACCTGGGCATCCGGGGCCCCGTTTCCCTGTAACTCGCTTGTAGTCCGCAGATTCCGAAACGAATAGTTCATGACGCCATCGCTTAGTGCTGTCATGCAAAGCGACATGGATTATATACCTCGATCTTTCGCTACACCGTTGATGCAGATTACGGTCCAACCCCTCCTAGCTAACTTCTGAGCACAACGGCCTCCGAAAAAAAACACCAGAACACAAATACAGGATGACATCGACTGTCTCGCAGACCATTGCTTCTCTAAAAGAAGAGTTTGACGCATCTGCTCAGGACAAGAATTACCAACCGCTTTGGACAGTGTTCGGGCAAATGGTGCCCCCAAGGCCCAACCCGCGCGCCGTACCAGCTATCTGGCGCTATGATCAAATTAAACCGGATCTAATGAAAGCCGGGGCCTTCATCACTGCGGAGGAGGCCGAGAGACGAGTGCTGATGCTGGTAAACCCGGGAATGGGTAGGGTGCCTCTCGCCTCTGCGAAGCCACGGTTGAACTAAGTGCTGATTCCGCGATTAGATGCACCTCACACGACAGACGCAATCTATGGCGGACTGCAGCTCGTTCTCCCCGGAGAAACAGCCCCAGCACATAGACATGTTGCGTTTGCCCTCCGCTTGATTATCGAAGGCAATGGTGGATTCACCGCGATAGAAGGGCAGAAGATCCGCATGGAACCGGGAGACGTAGTCTTGACTCCTTCGTGGTGCTGGCACGATCACGGCAACGATGGTCAAGACCCGATCATCTGGCTTGATGGGTTGGACTTGCCGTTGTTTCAACGTCTCCCGGTTAACTTTGCTGAGCAGTATGCCGAGAATCGTTACCCAGCCTTGTAAGTTGCCTCATCGTTCCAGCGCACAGATCCACAATATATCTTCGTCTGACCGATCTACAATCTAAAGGGACACCGAAGACAGTCCAATCCGATTCCCGTGGCGAGACGTTCAGGCTATGTTGGATGGCGCGAATCTCCCATACGCTATTCATCACTACCATAGACGGGGAAAGAGTTACCTTTCGGATACTATCAGTGCACAAGCGGAGCGATTGAGTCCAGGCTATACAACAGCTTTTCACCAAGAGACTTGCTCGTTTCTTTATCATGTGATACACGGTCAGGGTATGTCTAAACTCATTACGGCAAACGGAAAGGAGTCCGAGATACATTGGAAAGCAAAAGACACCTTTGCGGTCCCCGCGTGGTGTCGCATTCAACACACGTCTTCGCCAGAAGAGCCTGCCTATCTATTTGCGATCAACGATCGCCCCATGCTGGAGTCTTTGGGGCTCATCAGACAAGCTTAGGGTCTGTTGGTGAGTTTTTGTTGGGAGCCTACTTCCAAAGACCAACTACTATCTTTAGAGCATTGGGGCTGTGAATTGGCTATGGGGTAGGAATATATGTAGGAAAGACAACTATTTAGGAATCAGCGCTTTTTAGTACATCTAAATTCCATGGATTAAATATTTCTTTTCTCTCAGATAGCCACCTCTTGGTTTGATTCTTGTCTTTGAAACTACCCAACCCACAAACGCCCATATATATGTACCTACATCGATTGAGTCCAGTGCCAGGGTTGTTTTCCTTCTGCGTTTGGAAACAGCGTTTGGCAGTGGAGGAAACCGTCTCGTCGCCATATGTGTATGTCCCGTATTCATCCTTACCCCAAAGGATGAAACAAAAAGCCAACCTAGATAGTGTCGCCAGAATTACCTACCGTCTTACTCTCTTCGAAAGTCGATCATATAAAAATGCCTCGCTCACCATGCAGATTATGAGCCAGTACCAGCTAATTTCAGGGATTACTCCAGCTTCTCTAGACTTTAATACTAGTATAATGAGCCATTATGCTACCAGAAGAACCCGGGGGGGTGCAAAAAACACGTCAAAGTGAGTTGATACATCAGGACTATTTGTCCCCTATTCAAACGCCATAATGTTCTTTGTAGACCCAAGTCCCTCAATGGACACCTCCACTATGTCACCAGCCTTGAGATATTTGGGAGGAGTCATGCCCATGGCCACACCCGAGGGAGTACCAGTCATGATGATTGTGCCCTTTTCCAGGGTGGTTCCCTGACTCAAGAAGCTGATAAGATGAGGGACATTGAAAAGTAAGTCACTAGTGTTCGTATCTTGACGAACCTCGCCGTTGACGAGCGTCTGAAGGCGCAGATTATCGGCAGCACCGACGACCTATACCATGTCAAGTTTCTAGTTCCGCGCTGCACATCGGGGGGCTGGGGGGGTTAAAGCTAGGAGCAAATACCTTCGGAGACACAAGGACAGGACCGAGAGGGGCAAACTTATCGAATCCTTTGCTGAAACACCATTGTGGGACACCTCCGGCCTTTCTCGGGTCTTTTTGCCAGCTGCGGCACGACACATCGTTGGCAACGACATACCCGGCAACGTAATCCAAGGCCGTTTCCATTGGAATATTCCTACCAGTTTTGCCAATCACAACGCTCTGTTTTAACGATCAGTGGAGTTACACATATATCTACGAACATCCGAGGCAAAGGCTTGGTGGGTTAAAATGAGGGAGGTGCGCTTGATAGGCCACATACCAATTCGCCCTCATAATCTACCGAGTCTTGGGCAATCTGTGGAATAGGGATGTCTTCATTGTATGCAGCAATGGAGGTATTCGGCTTAATGAAAAGAGACGGATGAGGCGGGGGGGTGCGTCCCCCCTCCTTGACTGGCATCGAGCTTTAGCCAATGTTCACTGGCATCAACTGAGTCCCTCCCTAAACTTCCCACTTACTGTGTGCCATGTAGTTCAACCCCACGCAACGGATAATAGGAATATCCTCTGGCCGGAGGACGCCTAAGATTTCTTTGACTTGCAGACGACGGGCGCCTGGAGTGACAGATAGTGCGCTGTCTCCCACGAATTCCTGGGCGTACAATGTTCCGGCTAGGCATTCGTCTACCAGCTTTGTGACATCGTTGATTGCTGGTTCTCCGAAGCAGACTTTACCGGTGGTATCAACGAAACGGATGAGGCGAGACCAAGACATTGTGATAAAAAGAATTGATCAAACGTGACTTGTTACGCGATAATCGGGAATAGTTCTGTTTGTAGCAAAGGGGGGCCTGTCTCATAGTTATATAACCATGAAATAGCCCAGAGCGTTTGGGTAGCAGTGCGGCAGCTACTCGTTCCAATGTTTACTAGGTCCTCACATCCAGCTGAGGGTTCCGTTTCTCCGAATATCCCGACACCTGGGCGTTTCAGCACACAGAACGGATCCCGGCCCTGCCGATCGTGCCGGTTAGTATTTACCATGCCGATCGAAGTTCTTCTACCGCCACCACCGTTAACTGATCCAACTCTTGCTTCGGGACTTTGCATTAAGTGTTACAGTTTGTGTGAGCTGCCCGCTGGACGCAATTGCCGTCAAAATCAATTAAATGCATTGAGAACCGGTACTGATCGCGATGAAGAGCAACCGGTTATTTCCATCCATTCTATCTGGATCGGTAGGAGCAACTTGTTCTGTTACGATTGTGACTGTGCATACTATTTGATACCTAGGTACTTCCCAGTCACCGCAAGGGCCCTTGCCCTGCCAGCCTCTAAATTCAGCAGCCCTTAGATGGTTGCAGTAGTTTCTCAGCCAAGCCATTGGGTGATGACCGGTTTTAATCCGTCTGATAGCCCGGGGGGGATCAAGCTTAAACAGGTATACAGACAACTGGACCTTTGCTGTATGATATCGCTGTAGAATCCTCCAGACAAACGTTTGCGAACCTTCAATGGGCACAATCGAGTCTTCCAGTCCATGAATGATAAACAAGGGCAGTCCCCAGCGTCTATTCTTTCCAGAGCATATAACCTTCGAGCCGTTCCAAAATAGTCGACAAGTCGATCATGATCCATCGCAAAGTCCACACTAAGCCAACCCCCTTAGTAACCTGACAGTCGAACCTCTTTTACTATGGCAAGATGATTCACTACTCACCAGCAATATGGCCGGTCGTCATCAATCGTCCGAGATCCACGCTCGTTGCGCCGGAGGTCGATGGGCTCAAGCCGTCCGGCATCTCAGTTCGTAGCCATGTCCATAAACCATCCGTGTCAGATCAACTAGTGATACAAGTCAGAACGACGGAAAACTTGTCAGCGATACTTATGTAGCCGCGACCATGAAGCCGTACGATCGCGGGAGAGACACCTTGGAGTAATCCGCGCGGGATCAAACCATCCACAGAAATTCCTACATCTTTCAAGGTCCTGTAGTTCGTGAAAAAATATACCGAATTGGTGGTCGAATTTACCCATGTTAACCAAATTTGATCTACTCCGTATTAGGGTTGACAAGGAGGGAAGCGGGCGGTGTGTGCCTATTGGCTCGCTGCGTCAGTGTCGGATCGGAACTCGGAGAGGGCGGAACAGCCAACTCATGATCCACCCTGGTCTTCCGTCATCCGAAGGCTCCGGAAGACAATTCACACCTCATACAATTACGGAGTAAATCAACGGCAATATGGATGGCGGAGACTGGTCAGGTCATCCTCCCCCAGGCACAGCCAAGGCTTCCCCGTTGCGGCAGGCAAAGCGGCGCAAGATCGCAGTGGCCTGCGAGACGTGCAGGGCCCGGAAGGTCCGCTGTGATGGTCAACGGCCTAGTAAGTGGAGCTATCACACTCTGTAGGGCCTCCCATTGACCGCATCTTTCAGCATGTGGCCCTTGTTTGACCCGAGCCGAGTATTATGGTATAGAACTGGATTGTGTTTACTCGCGCAGCCTCTCTGAGAGACACGCATCCTCCAAGTAAGAACGCTGGCACAGCAGATTGATATCTTCGGATCGAAGAGGAAAGACTAACTGGTTGACTTTCGTTCCAAAGCCCTCGTACAAAAAGACAACCTACGAGACCACAGACCCCAAGCCCATATCGAGCATGTGCTCATCAAGTAGAGGCCCGGCAACGTCCAAGCATTCCCTCGGGAAATGACCCTGTGACGTCTTCTCATCAGCCAGCCGGAAGTCCAGATGATCGTAACCCCTGTACAATCTCTCCGTTTATGCCTTATATGCCGGCTGGATCCCAGCGGCGGCCGAACAGTAGAGAGGGAGTGAATGCGATGGTAGGGGAGGTGGCGGCTGATGAACGATGCCCCCCACAGGGCTTTTTTGGAAGCTCAAGCGCAGGGGGTTTCATGCGGCAGATCAGGGTTGCAGTGGAGAAAGAAGTGCCGTCATCAGGAATCCCCAATCCGCAAGCCTCTCCATTGGACCGTAACAGAGCGAAGGAACCTTCCACCCCTGGGATCATAAGCAATCATGTGCTGCCGTCACGGCGCATGGGGGATCATCTCATGGAAATATACTGGGAGTTTGTCTTCCCTCTTTATCCCTTTTTCGATCGAAAACAGCTATCCGCTGAGTATCTTACGATTTGGAATGGGAAGGGGTCCCCGAGTGACGAAGACATGCTCATGTGCACGTTTAATCTTATATTCGCCTTAGGCTGTCAGCTATCTCAGACAATCGAACCAGAGAATCGAGCAGCAACAGCAGACAGCTTTTTTTCTCGCGCCAAACATCTGATTCAGATTAATATATGGCAGCCAAGCTCTACCCCACTGGTTCAGTGCCTGCTTCTCATGTCGCAATATCTCCAAAGCACGGATCATGCTGACCAATGTTGGATTGTGACTGGCATGGCAATTCGCGGTGCGCAAAGTCTAGGACTCCACCTGCCGGAGACAAGTGCACGCTTAGCCAGCGACCAAGGTAAAGAGCTTCTTAGGAGAATATGGCATGGATGTGTTCTCATGGATCGGTTAGTGTTTGTTCACCCTCTTCCGTAATCCGGTCTAAGTTTCACAGTGTGGTCGCGTTGACCTTGGGACGACCTACCATGATATCTAAAGAAGCAGCTGGTGCTGTCGCTTTACCTACCATGGTAGATGAGGAAGTTCCGCCATCTCTCGCCGAGTCACACACCCAAGGAGGAACAGAGAGACCGTCTTTCATAACATTCTATGCCAAGTGCCTGGAGCTGTACGAAATCTTGAACGATATACTGCTTAGCCTGTATCTGAACAGCGACCCTCCGGACAGGCCCGGAGACCACCATACCTACTACTTCCAAAGCTTCCATGAAGGTCAAGTGACAGTGTTTCGCCTCGACCATGCACTCACCGTATGGTCTCAGAGCCTTCCATCAGTCTTTCGCAGCCAATTCACACCATTGCCTGCGAATCATGTTATTGGTAGGCAAAGGGTTGTATTGAGACTGAGGTATCCATACCAATCACACAATATGGGTAAATCATATTCGTTAATTACTTTTACCAGGTCACTCCATATCAGAATGGTTCTTTTACGTCCAATACTATCCAGGTGTTGTGATATGTACAATCGATCCTCTTTGACAGCAGCAGAAGACTCGCTCCCGCAACGGTTCGCGCTGCAGTGCTCTATAGTTTGTGTAAAGTCAGCTCAGGATCTCATCGATATGACCTATACGAACCTACCACCGGCCAATACCATCGGCCTGCTTCCCGCTTGGTGGTACAACATTTTATGTACGTCCGTTAGAATGCCGTGTCCCTCTCCATTAGAGTTCACAGAACCTAATCCCGCATAGATGTGTACACAGCCGGCACAGTCCTAATGGCCGGTCGTCTTCACCAGGCTATTTTGGCGGAGCTAACCGAAGAATCCGTGGGTCAGACCTGGCAGCGTGCTCTTGAGATCCTTCGCAAATATCGAAGCTACAGTTCTTCTGCTCAACGGTGCATTGTGGCACTTGAGCTGCTCTATGAGAAAGTGAGCGCCTCCATCAATGTCAGGCAGAGCTTCCCTCCTCTGGCACCTGGTAACCCCGCACACGAAGCTTCTCCCGGGGAAGGGCTCTCAGAAGCACTCTTGGATACATTAGACTTACCGGACTTCTTTGACATGTCGTGGCTGAATAGTGTACCTAGTAGTCTGTACTAATATGAGTGATAGAAGGTGACAAGGATCTTTTCCACCCCGGGTCAGTAGATGGGGCCATGGGAGATACGTAGAGTCCTTATCGGGTCGGGTTCGGATTCATAATCTAGGTCCTGTCGCCGACCCGGCTCCGGAGCGGGTTTTCATGCAACAGAAAAATATATACTATTATTTATATGCAATGTAACTATCACATAGTTGAGTATCTTATAAAAGCAATAACATCTGGTTGTTATTGTGTCGGAGTATGATGTCCCAATTTTTACGTATATTTTGGTGGTTGCGGGAAATTACGTTAGACTTGTCCAAGTATATATATAACCCTCATGTATGTATACCATGCACGAGACATTTAGCAGTAATTTACAGGGATAAATTCTAGTTTTATCTCAAGGACATCGTGCAGATCCAAGTTACATATATCCACCCTGTAACCCTTGTTGAACGGATATAGGATTGTTCTTTTCTGGATATATAGTACTACCCTCTACTACTTCTACACTCGCCAGTACACGAATTGGAAATAAGTTATTGGTACCGCGATTTCCTGCAAGGGTTTCTCTCACCTAGCGCTATTTCTTCCACCGCCCACTCAACAATGCAGGTGAAATGGTGAAAATAAGGCATACCAGAAGCAGCGCGAAGGTAGTCGATTGTCTTTCCTATCCCAGTGATTGCACATATAATTTCCACGTGCATAGTCCCTGGTGAATCACCTAAGGATATACCTTCAGTCAGGCAGGTTTAGCAGTGTATATACATGATGATAATAACTCATGAGGGACTTGGCTTGGGATCAACTCTTATTCAGACAGCTTAGGCATTACTGTGCCTTCACTGCTTCGCCCACATATGCACCTGGACAATTCTAGTAATATTTCCACATGGCGGGGCGCTGAACGAGAGTTGCCTTTTGCCTTGAGTTGAGCCGTAGTATAGCAGGTTGTGTGGCCTTACTGTGTTGTGCTATTGGATGTATACGACAATGATCAGTGCCCCAACCTCAAAAGGATGATGATTGGCATTACCCGTAGATGTATTGAAAAATACCAAACTGATGGGAGAAGGAGAAACTGGAAAATGTACGCCTCCGTAGCCGCGATAACACCTAACGTAACCTACCAGCGTCGAGCGAGCTGCCTACCCTGTAACCCCCGTTGCGAATACGAGGCGATGTAGCAAACAAAAGTATATTTTGATACAAGCACGTTGTATTGACTTAATCTTTCTCTCTCCACTAATCCAAGAGATAGGGAAGCTTTATATAGTTTGGGTGGTTAAGATGTAGCCTGAATTTGTGCCGTATAGTTCTCTCTATATAGTGAGCCAGTGCCAGCTTGAACATTTCACTGAAGCAGAAATCACGGAAAGCTCCATTATATTCCTTCGCGCTTTGGCCTCCCGCAAAGGCGGGAGGTGTCAGATGACCACGCCATCACATTAAGGAGCTGACCGCTTTATTTATTGTGGATTATCTTCTAGACAAGGCTGTACACCAAGCCAAGGCTACGAGGATTCCCACCCATATGTGCAGTTATACGAAGAGCCCATCATGATAGAACAATTTGAATATGACCCTTTGCCAGAGCCAACGTGCGTCCGTTTAGTATCCTTTGTTCCTCAGGATGATGCCACCCGCTTTCCTCCCCTGACCGAAGGCGAGCCCCTGCTCCAGCTATCGCTATCCGTAGTGGATCTGCAGGATACCCCGCACTATGAGGCCCTGTCATATACCTGGGGATCCCCATTCCCCCCAGAGGACTCAAGATCAACAGCTTACGATGATAAGAATAGTCAACGGCTAGTCATTGTCAATGGGCGTGAACATGAGATTGGACGGAATCTCTGGGAGTTCTTGCATCAACAGCAGCAGACCAATGCGAATCTCGGGAAAGAGGCCGCCGAAATGTTAGCGGCTGGGTTGGACACTTATGGGCGGACTCCATTAATGCGCGCTGTCATAGATAGAAGGCTCGATCTGACAGAGGCTTTGCTCGCCCTAGGTGCTGACACAGAGCAACGAGATAACGAGGGAAAGTCGGCACTCCATTACGCTGTTACTAGCGATATCTTGAGCGTTGACCTCGCACAGATGCTGGTCTATCATGGCGCAGACATCTACGCGGATACACAAGAAGGGAAAACGCCACTGGACGACGTAAAAGACGAGGTCGCTGAGCTGATCAAGTCCCTCAGTAAAGACCTTGGAGGAAAGACCCTGCCGAGAGGCCTGCGACTCTCAACACATAGGCCTATGTGGATTGATTCTATCTCGATCAATCAGAAGGATACAACTGAGCGCAATATGCAGGTGGCTCTGATGTCAGATATATATAGCAAGGCAATGTCTGTTGTTGTGTGGCTGGGTGTGGAGGGCGAGCCCATTCCTCTTGCACTGGGGCCCCTTAGCAGGCATTTTATACACTGGATAGGCTTTACCGCGGTGAGAGATTCCGGACTTACGGGGTTAAGTCTGGGAAATGTCTTGAAACAACGCTACAGTATTCAGGATATACTAGAGACGCTGGCTTTTGAGAAGCTTATGGCGAGGACGTGGTGGTCCCGAACCTGGGTTATCCAGGAGCTGACGCTGGCGAAGCGTACCCTGATCACTTGTGGCTCACTCACAACTCACCCTATGGAAACCGCTGTCATATTAAACTTGCTATGCTATATTCCTTCTCCTGGGGTAATTGAGCTTCCAGGCTGCGAGCCATTTGGAGACATTACGGCCCTCTTTGAGAGCGCACGTTTTTCAGGGGTACGCGGCATCGAAGCACTCATGCTTGCTGATATCGGTTTCAGAGCCTCTGTGCACACAGGGCAGCGGGAACTCCTCATTAAGGACGTCTTAAAATTGAGTGAAGCGGTGCCGAATGTTTCCTGGGGGCGAAGACTAAGCCTCCAAAACCTAGGAAGATTAGGCTGGTGGTCCCAGTGCAGCGACCCGAGAGATAAGGTCTTCGGGCTAGTTGGGATGGCTTGCCCTGATCCACGGGACCAGGGGATTGTTGTGGATTACGATATACCTACAGACAAGGTGTTTATTCGGTATGGTCACTTATTCATGCAGGGCTCAGCCGAGCCGATCCAGGATCTATACACTGGCGAATCCTATTTTTTCGAGCCCCTGGAGGGGCTCTCCTATGTTCAGGACACGCCAAATCCCCATCCCGAGTTCCAGGACTACAAAGCCAAACTTCCGTCCTGGACCCCGAATTTCAGCGCCCATCTCACAACCTGCCGCATCTGGTCCCGGAAACATAGCGCAACCTCGGGCATGCCGAACAGCCCAGCAATTGTTTCGCATCCGGACCCCAGAATTCTGTGCGTGAATGGGCATATAGTGGATCGTGTTGTAGCAATAGAGCGGGCCCACAACAAGGGAGATGTACACGAGTCCGAGGTATTGGCCTGGCTGAAATTCATACGGGACTTGGATCCGGAAGGAGGCAGCCGTGTAGACGCTCTGCGGCAAACATTAACGGCTGGTAACCAAGTCCAGAATAAGAAGGTCGCGCGTAAGGCCTTTCGAGACTTTATCGCAAGCAAACTATGTCAGAGCCAAACAGATCTTGAACTGGAATCGGTAATCGCGCAACTGCGCATCTCTAACCCCCGGGACACGTTGCCCTCGCTTAAGGCGCTTCAAAAGCAAAAGCGGGAGCGCCGGAAATATAAGCAGGAGGTCCTGACACTAGTCTTGAAGCAACTGAAAAAGGTTGAGGAACTCCAGGGAGAACTGCGGGGGCTCCAGGACAAAGTGCAAGGGCTTCTGAAACTACAACAGGGGCTCGAGAAACAAAAGCAGGAGCTCCTGAAACTAGAGCAGGACATCCGAAATCAAGAATATGTGCTCCCGGAACAGAGGCAGGCATCGCGCGACTTACTACGGGGATTCATGGAACTACTGCCGGAGCTCCGGCAGCGTGAACACCTACAAGTAGAACCAGGACTCATGTACCTTACATTGGAGGAGATGCGGAAAAGAATGGTCGATGAGCTACAACTCAGTCCTCCCGACTACACTCAGTTAAGAGCGTTTCACACGCTCTTGAGACGGTACAACCGGTCTAGATGCCTGTTCCGGACTACAAAGGGCTATATCGGTCTTGGGCCTGTTGGTGTACAACCCGGTGATGAAGTCTGGTTGTTTGCTACCGCACGGACACCTTTTGTCCTGCGTCGACCATCGGAAGGGTCCCTGAGAAGGGAGACCCGGGGTTCGAATTCCTCCACAGCGGAAGGTGAATGCCGAGTATTCATCGGAGAGACTTACGTTCATGGAATTATGAATGGGGAAGCGATGCAGAAAGGTGACTTTCGTCCGGTGGCTCTAGTATAATCGACCGAAGCGGCTCGCAACAACAGTCTATAGCTGAAGGAGCTAGCTAGGAAACAACCCGAAGCTGGTTAAACCACGGTTCGGCGTCACCGTGCACCGGACTCTGACGGAAGACTTCCACTTGGAGAATGCGAGCGCTGGGGCCATTGAGAAAGCCTACAGCGTCCACTGTATGGCTCGCTTGCTTTCCATATACTTCTCGATAAAGACTTGCCAAAGGCGGTCGATATCTAGAAGCAAGCTATTATAACTGGTCAGAACTCTGTAAAGAGAGTGCTGACAGAACCGAGCGTACAGAGTAGAACCGAGGATCTGGAAATATAGAACAATGAGATGACTCAGTCTTTTGTTCCGTAATTGGCGTCCAACACTTGGACGGATTCGATGATATTTTAAGAATCGTTGTTCGGAGAGGGCTTGACATAAGTAGAGCCATATCATGTTGATCAACAGTGGGTCAGGGAAGAAACGGCGAAATCCATAGAGAATGCTGGCCCTATTGGGGATACAAGCGGTTCGTGCTCGAGGATAGACGTCTAAAGTAGGTACTATACGAGATACCCAGGGACATAGCAAAAAGACAAGGTTGCGTGCACCGGACACAATGATATCGATAACCAGTTTTTGTGAGATATTAAGGACTTATATTGAGCAGCCATTTCCCGTCAACTGTCCACACCGATCTGTAAGCCCGTCTATGCATTATCTGTCTACCAAGAGCACACTGAATTCGCCTTTACAAAGGCCCTTATGGCACCTCCCCACCTATGCCACTATAGATCTAGCTTCCAGTTTTGTGAAAGCTAATTCATGGCTACGTGCCCGTTGCTTTAAAGTCGCACTCGGCTTCTAGGTCTGGGTACTCTGCCGCACTAACAGTAGTGTGCGTCCCCGCGAGACTCATAAAGCGGACACCTTCGCCATGCGCTTCTGAGCCATTATCACCACTGAGGCAACTGGGCCAATACGGAGTGCTTGGCAGACTCAACTCATTCGGGCCATGCGTGATCGGAAAGCTGGCTCAGTAACCCGCCATGTCCTTGGCCAACATGCGGTTGCAAGCACCAGTCCAGTCAATATCGTCATTCACGAGCAAGAGCATCGTGACACCGTAAAGCTCGCTTCCAGCGTCGAAGGTAACCTTGAAAATAGCCGAAGAATTCCTGTTGTAATCAAACGCTTGTGATAGCCTGTAACACGTCGGAAAGTTGATGCTGAAATCCCGGAACTAAGTTTGACGTTGGAAAAACGTCGAGTTATAGTCGGAACGAGGGAAGAGCTGGTATAGACGTGGGACAAAGCTCGGCACAGCTGATGGAAACAGGTCTATCGCATCCGCGACTTGTGCGGCTTGTGACGTCCGAGTCTAGTCTCTGAAAGAGTAACCCTCGTAGGCATCCCAGTCGACATGGAGAGGGATGTCATTAGTAATGTCCGCACCTGAAAGACCGGCTTGGAGGGCCTCGAACAAATTCACATCAACCATAGGTCCGACACGTCCTGAACGCTCTGCGCTACAGTGTTGAGGCTTTATCCCGACGGGCTGCGAAGACAATCCACTGAAGAGCAGTTTGACAAACGTAGTGCTTCCGAGAGCTGGATCCCTTGTTGGCTGTCATTGAGCAAGGACTGCCATCATGGATATTCAGTGATGGCAGCTGTGAAAGGTGGTTCATCGTATATGCCACCAGCGGTTAGTTCAAAGGTGACCGACCCTCTGTCGGTACCTACATGTGTCTTCAGTCAACCCCTATCCGAGTCGCTACTTTCACGCTAATTGGGACTTACTTCCTCCCCAAGTCGTGACGCGCGAAGGGTCACCGCCAGATGCATGGTTGTTTCCTTGAACCCAGTTAAGCGATGCACGTTGGCCGAGAAGCCCAACGTTGAGAGCACCATTCTCGGCAATCTAGCGACCACCAGGGAACCCGAAAAGCCCGAGTTGGTATTGTACGAAAACGTAAATGAGACCGCCATTCTAGGCATGACCGAGACCATCTCCAGGGTTATATTATTGAGCAATCTATTATTTATAGTGGATAAAGCTTTAGACCAATAGTATACGTGCCACATTCACCGTACAACGTTCGAATATTGATACATGTTAGGAACAGGCGATTCATTAAAATTCAGGAAGTGCTTAAATCAGTATCTACGGACAAGTAATAGAGAGTACCAGGCAACCCGCTTGAAATATCATGCACGAGAGCCCTCCGTACAACTTTCGAGCTCAGGAAAGGAAATTACATTAATGTTTAGTCTCGACCGTCTTCTCATTTTCGACAATAGTGCCGTTCTCACGTTGCCCATGGCGTTTTTGGTAGGCCCCTTCGATGCCAATACGCGTGCCTTGGGGGTTGAAAACTAGACACGTTAGGGTTTTTCGGATAAAATATAGGGATGGTACTCACTGAGTTCCATTTGCTCCAGGGACTTTCCCTTTGTCTGGACAGTCGTATTAGATTGCGAGTCTTGTTGACATATGGATCGCTCCTTACCTCCTTGATGAAGAACCAGGTATAGACAACTAGCGCCCAGTTAAAGATGCAGAACATGAGGAATGTCTTCCACCCCAGGTTGTCCACTGCATGAGGGGTTATCTGGCTAAAGACAAAATTGAACAGCCACTGGGTCGCCGTCCCCACTGCTATGCCACCCTCACGAATGCGTGTTGGGAAGATTTCACTCATGTAGAGCTAGCAGGTCAGCATGATTTCGAAAGACGGGATAGATTGACCTACCCACGGAACGGGTCCCCATGATATATTATAAGTCACTGGTGGAGCACGTTAGTCTTGAGCTGTTTCGTATACGGGAGAGCCTTACTAGCTTCGAGATATATCATTGCAATAGACGCGCTGGCCGCGGGCGTCAAGCCAGCGTCTGCGTCCGGTGGGTGAGTCTTCGTGATAATGGCCACAATGAGCATCAGGGCACCCATCAACGCGGCACCGCTTAGCAGAGCACCTTTGCGGCCGATCCTTTCAACGAGAAAGATCAGGAAAAAGAAGCAGGCGACGACCTTGCACAAACCAAAGAACCCGCTGAGAAGCATGGAGTCTTGGCCTGCACCGACGGCGGAAAATATTTGCGGCGAGACTATCGTGGGTTAGACATGGATCAGCTCGGGGAGGAACAAGACCTACAGTAAGCGAGAGAGGTGTTCCCAGTCAGCTGGACACCTAGAATATGGATCAGCATGCACTCATGGCATAGGTACCATTGTCCCTCGCGTACCGATCTGGAGGGTGATAACGAGAAGGATGCGCCATCTGTTCGCGGGGACGAGGTATTCCTTCCATGTCAGGCCCTCCGTCACCCTATGCTCTTCCTCAATGCCCGCCAGAATTTCATTCATTCTGGATAGATTAATTTTGTGTCGCTTGATCGTAGTTCATCTGGAGTGTGACTTACTCTGCTTGAACCTCCGGAGTATTGACGCCACCTCGAACCCAAATCAGGGCTTCGAGGGCCTCGTCATGACGGCCAACCTTGGCGAGCCATCTCGTACTCTCCTTGGTCAGAAGCATTCCGAGCCCCAGCATGCCACCAAAAAGCAGCTGGAGACCGACGGGAATTCGCCACTGCTTCGTGGACGGCTGCATATGCTCGGAGACGGCATAGTCAATCCAATAACTCGTGAATACCCCCAGCGTAAAGCACCCTTGGAACAGTGATCCCTTTGTCCGTTAGTTAGTGTCAGGGGAATGCTCCTGATGCAGGTTACTCACCAGCTGGCCACGGATCTCCTTGGGAGCCATTTCTGCCGAATACATGGGAATGATCACAGTTGCAATGCCAACTCCAACCCCAGAAATAATCCGCCCAGCATACCAACAACCCACATTCTATCCAAGAAAAAAGAGTTGGAGTATGGCGCCGATCTCAAAGATCAGGGCCGCCAAGGCGATGGCCCACCGCCGCCCAAATTTCGCAGTGAACGGCCAGACGAAGAAGCATGCGAAAAAGGCTGGAAAGCTTCAGAATGAACCCCGTTCTGAGCGACGAAGACTGAATACTGACCTCCTGCTTGCAGCAAGCTGGCAGAATTCGAGCTGACGTCGGACTTCTTCTTCGTGTCAAAGCCCATGTCCCTCTGGAAACTCTCTAGAGTCAACACCCCTCCCACGATGCCCGTATCGTATGCAAACAGAAAAGAGCCAATGCAGCTCAGAGCCACCAGGTAGGAGACCCGGAACGTGCCCAAGCGTTTTGACATCGTGGCGGTTTATCGGTGGCTGTCTGGAGCGCGTGAGGTTTCCGAGTGTCAGTAGAATAAACCTCAACTACTGTCGTCGATGGCCGTCTTGATCATTTAAATGCACTCATGCTGCGAATGCTAATATCTGCCAGTGTGATGGCGTAAGAAACCTGGCCGGATCAGCCATGCGATTCCAGGTCGGAATTCGGGGAGTGCACGATTCCAATGGCGTTCTGGATCGTGTCATTGTGCCCTAATCTCTCGTTTTTCCCCGGGGGAGGCCGAGCCAACAACGCTAGACAGTATTTTGTCACGTACATTAATCTACCGAACGGACCTATCTGGAGAAGGGGACACGATGGAGCCTCGGACAGTCGGTCGGAGATCGTCGCGATTGGCCTGGCGACCGGTGGAGTCGCCGCACGCCATCCAACGCGAGCCTGACGAAAGAGCGACGGCCGGTTTTGTGGAGGTTAGAGTCTTGGCCAACAGTCTCTCCATGGGCCGGAGTCTATCACGGTTCTTCCAGGTCCAGAATGAAGGTAGCGTGTGTCCAGTGTCGAGTGCGCAAGGTAAGACTGCTGTATCACCGGCTTGACCACTGGCTGACTCTTCCCACAGGTCCGCTGCGACGCAACCGTTCCTCGCTGTAGGACCTGTGAACGCCTGGGGTTCCAGTGCTCCTTCCAGCGGGATGGATCCCAGCCCGTCGGTCAGTCGGTGCCACGTCTGCCTGCGAAGCGTCGCGGCACCAAGGCTTGTCTAGAGTGTCGGACCATGAAGGTTCGCTGCTCAGGGGCGACACCTCGGTGTCATCACTGTCACCGCCGCGATCGCCCGTGCACGTATACGGCGTCCAGCGGGCCATCAAGACCGGCGCTCAATCCCGGCGGGAGGAGTACAGCGATGGTGACTCCGAGGGAGGATTCCACGGCGGAGCAATCTACTGATCCTGAGCCAGCACCGTCCGCTCCCTCGGCCCCATCGGATGATGTTGTCCAGTCGCTTCTAAGACAGTACTTCGATCGATTATACCCGCTTCCAGCCTTCAATTTCCTCCATCAAGACACGGTGGTGCAACGATGTTCGGCAAGAACCATCGATGAGTCGCTCAAGCTGGCGATCTGTGCCATCACGGCGCTATTCTTCCGTCAACACCAGTCGGAACATATGGCCTGGGCGCAAGAGTCAGAGCGACTTGTCCTGGACCGTCTGGAACGGCCCTCGATATTCCAGATACAAGCATCCATCTTGACCATTCGCTACAGAGCCGGAATTGGCCAGTTCCCACGCGCGTTCATTCTCGCGGGCCTGACTGCGCGGTGGGCAGTGTCCCTGCGTCTCAACTATGAGCACTCCAGCTTGGGGCCCATTGCACAGGAGGTTCGTCGCCGGACATTCTGGTCACTCTATTTGCTGGAGGACAGTTTCTGTGTGGGGTTGAAGGAATTTGAGCTATTTGACCCGGAGACGATTCATCTCCAACTCCCCTGTGAAGACGAAGATTTTCACGATGAGCGCCCCGTGGTCACAGGCTTCCTGCAGCCGGGCAAGGGCCTGGAGCCAGAGATCTTGGGGTCTCAAGGAGTGTTTATGAAGCTGGCCTTTATCCGACGAGGGATCATGAGGCACGTCTACCCTCACAGTTGCATTCAACCCATGGCTAATCAATCAATCCCGCAACAGATTCAATCGAAGAATATGCGCCAAAGAGGTCAGCTTATCCGACCTTTTTCGGTCCATCGACAGGTTTCAGGCCGATCTATCTCGCCTGCGCAGTCGACTTGCGCCCTCTGACCAATATCCTCCCGCAAACCCTGAAGAGCTCCAGTGGCCGCCACGATACGCGATTCTGCACATGTCCTGGCACCAATGTCATTGCGATCTGTATCGAATCTTTCTCAACGGGTATCCCGAGTCCACTCCGCACGCCGCCATCGACCGCATGAGAGCGCCAGAGCGCGCGCTGATGAAGGACAAATGTTTAGGGCATGCAGAGCAAATTGTCAAGGTGCTATCCGACTTCGTACACCATAAGGAGGAACGACACATGCTGGAGTTCGACGCGGCCGTATGTGCCTATCACGCGGCGCGGCTGGTCTTGTTTGGGACGTATACAGGGAGAGACAACACCGGCCTGCCCATGCAAATGGCTATTAGCAAAGCCCAGCTATGTCTCGATGTCATTACTCGGTACTTTGAGTTTTCCGCGCAGCTGAAAGCCATGGTAAGTGCCTCGAGAAATACGTCAACGCCCAGGCTAATAGCACAGCGTCAAATGCTTGAACGGGCCATCCAGCAACACAAACGCTGGTTGGAGTCTTCGGATCACAGAGCGGTCGCCACAGCAGATCCAAGTCCTCATCCGCCTCCGGGTATTTCGCGCGACGCATATATGCGCCAGCGGCTTGCCATCCACAGCCTCTTGCGACAGTCGGACTTTGTGGACGACAGTCGTGAGGCTGCTCCAGAACCTGCACTAAGGCACACGGTGAATTGGACCCCGTCTACTGAAGACGAGCAGGTGCATGAGCCACCCGTAGACCTGGATATTCGAGATGAGCTCTATCCGTTGACGGACCCGCTAACAAACGACCCGAGCCTACTATTTGGCCTCCCGTACGGACTGGATATCAACGGCTGGCCAGGTGAAGGGACAGAAGAGGCATCGGGTTATATTGGAGGGTTCGAGGAGCAATACATGTACTAAAAGCAATAAAAGAACCAATGGTTAGCGAGCGACTCCGAGCTCCCGATCGCATCTCGGTCGATTGTGGGTCGTCGGGGATGTGATGCCGAGCCGAGTAAAGATATATATATATATCTGTATCAGGACGTTCCTCCACTTGAGAAAAGGTTTCCCACTCCGTACCCACCTGTGGATACGAGACGAAAATGACAGTACATCGGCCAGGAGCCCGCGATGGCCGGCCGAACATTATCTTCATCATGGCAGACGACCACGCCTCGAAGTCCATTAGCTGCTACGGCGCAGGAATCAACCACACCCCCAACATCGACCGTCTGGCGACCGAGGGTATGAGATTCAACCATTGCTATGTAACAAACTCGATATGTACGCCATCACGAGCGGCAATCCTCTGTGGCACGTATAATCATGTCAATGGCGTGATGACTCTTGATGACCAGGTGAGTCTTCCGTCCTATTCATCCCCACACGAGAGAGCATACTTACGGTAGATAGATCAATAAACACATTCCCAATGTTGCCAAGCATCTTCGGACTGGCGGCTACCAGACTGCAATGGTCGGGAAATGGCATTTGGGAGAGGGCGTGGAGAATCAACCTACAGGCTTCGACTACTGGTCTGTTCTCCCAGGCCAGGGTCTTTACTGGGACCCGGACTTTATCGGGCCGGATGGCGCGCATACCGAGCTGGGATATGTCACGGACATTATTACTGACAAATCTGTCGATTGGATGAAGTCGCGAGACCGCAACCGTCCGTTCTTCCTGATGTGCCATCATAAAGCGCCCCATCGGTCATGGGAATGCGACGACAAACACAAGCATATGTACCAAGATCCGGTGCGCTTGCCGGATACGTTCACAGACGACTATAAGCATCGTGCCAAAGCGGCCAAGATAGCGAAAATGCGCGTCGCGGAAGACCTCACCTACCAGGATTTGGGACTGGTCCAGCCCGACGGCGGTCGCAGCGTCGGCGAACCTGTGCTTCAAGAAAAAGGGAACAGTGAGCGCAAGGTTCCAGCGCCAACTACCGACGCAGAGCTCATGGCAATGAAACTGATTGACAAGGACGATGGCACGATCTTTACCTTCCAGAGCCACGCGGAGCTGGCCGAATTCAAATTCCAGCGATATATGCAACGGTATCTTCGCACCATCCAATCTATTGATGATAACGTTGGCCGGTTGTTAGACTACCTCGATGCCGAGCCTGAGCTGGCAGCAAACACGATCGTCATCTACACCTCGGACCAGGGATTCTTTCTGGGAGAGCACGGTTGGTTTGACAAGAGGTTCATGTACGAAGAGTCTTTCCAGATGCCATTCCTTATCCGATATCCCAAGGAGATCAATCCTGGCTCAGAATGCGACGATATTATCTGCAACGTGGACTTTGCGACTACCTGGCTGGACTATGCCAATATCCCCGTGCCCTCGTACATGCAAGGCACATCCTTTCGTCCACTTTTGCGCGGCTATACCCCAGAGTCCTGGCAACAAGTAGCATATCACCGATACTGGATGCATAATGACATCATACACCATGCACATGCACACTACGGTGTACGTAACCAGAGGTACAAGCTCATTTACTGGTACAACGAGGCATTAGACATGAAGGGAGCACGTCCCGGAGGTGAAGACGTTAAAGAGTGGGAACTATTCGACTGCGACCAAGATCCATTAGAGCTGTTCAATGTGTACCATGACAAAGATTACCAGGAAGTGGGGAGGGAAATGACCGTCCTTCTCGAGAAAAAGATGTTAGAGATCGGGGATGAGCCTGTTCATCATAAGCAATCATGGCAGTGGGCCTCTCTATGATTTTTACTACATCACCAACGTCCATGGTGGGTCGCGAGGACATCATAGTTAAGCACCTGAGTTCAGTTTCATGGATGAATATATTTATTTGATCACTATAACCCTGATCCCAGCACCCCTGGACCGTCCTCTCGTATCCCACCTCAAGGCACTAGATATCCGCAGCCAATCCACAATCCCTGGCAGCCAATGAGGGTCTTCTGAGCCCGACTGGCGAGTATGGAGCTGCTGGAGCTCCGCAAGAAAGCATCTCGGACGAACCTCCGAGCCGTTGATTCGGTATTCGGGGCGACCCACATTTCGTGATTCTCCATCGTGATGATCCAATGCCTGAATGTCCTTGTGGTAGCCATAGAAATAACATATAAGAAGAATCCATGTTAGGATGGCACGAAGAGAGTTCATCAGACCTCTTTTGAAAACGGGCCTAAGTCGTTCAGTATTCATTGCCCAATATGGTGAATCTCCAGCTTGCCATTTCGGCAATGCCTCTTTGCCATACAGTCCTCGCCGCTTCTATCTCGCCAAACTCATCACACACAGGAACACATAGACAACGGGCACAGAGCCTGCTAGATCAGATGGACTGGGAGGAAAAGGTTGGTCAGATGGGTGGTATCCGTCGGCTTCTCAGCTTGGCCCCAAAGATAGACGAGGAGAACTACGATACACGACAAGAGAACTATCAAAATGGCAATATTGGTTAGGACCCATTCACAATTGATTGCTAAGCACGACTGACATCTCAGGCTTTGGGGCCACGCTCAATTGGGCCGAAGAAGTCCTTCCACTCACGAATGAAATACGGCAGAGACAGATAAACAACAGTCGGCTTCACATTCCATTCATCACTGTCACAGACTCTATCAATAGTCTCTATCTGTCGGGGGGTACGATGTTCCCAAGTAACCTTGCCATGGCAGCGTCATTCAACCTTCCGCTGTTCAAAGAGGGCGTTGCTGCACTTCGTGAGGAGCAACTAGCAATCGGAGTAACATGGGTTCTCTCTCCGCCGCTAGATATAGCATGGGAGCCGCGATATTCGCGTATCGGCGAGCTGTAAGTACATATCTCCTCCATCATACGTAAGCTAATGCAACCAGCTTCGGCGAGGATGCCTACTTGACAGGCGAATTCGGTCACGCCTACGTCCAAACGATGCAAGACAAAGACGAAGAAGGAAACATCAAAGTTGCCGCGACGATCAAGCACTTCGTCTATGGCGAGAGCCGTGGTGGGGTGAATGCAGCCAGCATGTACGGCGGAATCAACCACATCTACAACGACCAGCTTCGACCGTATATCCGTGCCTTGGAGGCTGAACCTGCGGCTGTCATGGTTTCATATGCTTCGGTCGACCTGGTACCCATGTCAGCAAACAGGTATCTCGTCAGGGATATTCTACGTCAGCGGCTGGGGTTTGAGGGTGTCATTATGTCTGATGCTGGGTCTATCGCACATCTGCACACTGAGTCCAAGCTGGCGCGTTCGTACCCTGAGGCTGCGCTTTTGGCACTTGACGCTGGCTTGCAGATGGAATTGAGTCCGGGGTCGCCAGCCGTCTTTCCGAATCTTGTGGCTGCTGCTGGAGATACCAGAGCAGGAGACTTGATTGATGAGGCTGTACTGAATATTCTTCAGCTCAAGTTCGCAACTGGAGTCTTTGACACCCCTCTTCCTGATCCCGCGAAAGTGACCAGGACACTTCGCACACCCGCTCACCTTGACATTGCTCGTGAGATCGCGAGAGAAGGTATTGTGCTGCTGAAGAATGATGGCATCTTACCAACCAAACCGTCCAAGGTGGCCCTCCTCGGCCCCTTTGCAGACATCCGCAACTACGGTTCCTACGCACCGGCCAACGCGAGTGACCCTCGATACGGCAACTCGTTGTATCAGAGTCTACAAGCCAAGCTCGGCCCAGAAAACGTCGACTTAGTCCATGGCGTCGACTTCCTCAGCCTTAACATCAGCAATATTTCGACCGCCGTCTCCGCAGCCAAGAAAGCCGGCTTTGCCATTATCGTCCTTGGCTCGCTATCAGTAGGCTCAACCGATCCGCTGGTCACTAAACGCACCGACGGGGAGTTCTTTACCCATGCAGACCTGGGTTTCCCCGGAGCTCAACAACAGCTTCTCGACGCCGTTCTCGATGCGTCCATCCCGACAATTTTGATCCTCTCGGGCGGGCAGCCATTTGTGCTCAACAACTCGACTCTCCGCAGCAATGCCGTCCTCCACTCCTTCCTTGGTGGGGAATTCACCGGTGATGCGTTGGCCGATATCCTGACTGGCGAGGTCAACCCCAGTGGGAAGCTGCCTATCAGCTTGCCGCAGGATTCTTCTGCCACCCCGGTGTTCTACGACTACCTTCGGAGTGATGACACTGGCACAGCGGATAGCCTCCTCGGACTTCACTCCACATACCAGTTTCCTCTCCTTTCGCGGGATCCGCCGATGCCATTTGGCTTTGGGCTGAGCTATACCGACTTTTCTATTTCGACACCCATCGTGGGAGCCAGAAATGAAACCATTGAGGTGCGAGTGAATGTTACTAATATTGGATCTATCGCCGGGAAGGAGGTCGTGCAAATATACCATCGGCCCAACACGACCACAGGGATTGAGTTTCCTATCAGGCGGCTGGTGAGGTTTGAGAAGGTTCAGCTGGATGCAGGGGCATCTAAAGAGATTCGGTTTGCGATCCCGTATCCAGATCTAGGCTTCTATGTGAATGGAGAGTTAAGAGTACAGAGGGGGCAATATTCGCTGTGGGCTGGAACGAGCTCCAGGCTGGAAGATTTGAGACAGGTTAATTTCACGGTGGGGGAGAATCGTGCCTGAAGCCTTTGATTCTATCGAGGAACTTAGAATTATATTTCACTATTGATAAATTCCACCAAAGGCTGGAACGTCGGCACGGTATCGATAGCGCGTACAGGGAGGAACTGCCTTGGCTTTGTAGACGTGTGCAGGGGAGTCCTTGATCATGGCGGTGTTCACGTTTATGGGAGCACAATTCATAATATGGGCACTATAGCCTCGAGTAAAACATCGAACATGCAAAGGGCCTTCCATCCGACACGTCGGATCAATTTTCGTACGCCTTGTTGGCTCCAGTATCAGCGAGATTACCTACTACGATAAGGGGTTCAGTGAAACTACAAGACCATGGAACGAGGCTGGGACAATCTCTGACAGGTATAAACTGCAATGCTTTCCAGTTAACCAGCACACGAAACCTGTACAGGGTGAAAAGGAAATGAGCAGACAAAGGGTTGGGTTCGTTTGGATCGTTGATCCAGCGTCCGACTGGGTCATAATCCATTCAAAATCCACTTTCTATTCCCAAATATCGGGCAACTTCAATCAGACCTGAGCCTCCAACTTCGACCCAATGATCGACAAACCGCTCTTCTCTGGCTCGTGCAACGTCTCTACTATCCCAAGCTTCTTCTGAGTCTCTCTCGACATAGATTGTCTGGAACCCACAGTTTTTGGCGGCTTGCAAGTCCTCCAGATGGGCTGCAACGAGACAGCATTGCGAATTCCTCAGACCGAATCTGCGAGCAGCACCATAATAGGCCTCTGGCGATGGCTTGTAAGCACCCAAATGCTCCGCACTGGTGATGTGCTTGAAGGGCAAAGAGTTGTGTTCTTGTAGGTCTTCGAGGAGTTTGACATTGCCATTGGATAACGTAGACGTCACAAACTTAGTGCCCAGCAACGAAAGGCCTGGGACACTGTCAGAGTATGAGTCAAGTCGATGCCAAGCGAGGGTCAGGTCTTGGAGGTCTTCCTCGTTAAATAAATCCCGAACAAGCCATTTGGTCAGAATGCTTTCCAGAGAAAGGCGGTTGTGCTCATCTACTGTGATAAAAGGCTTCGATGTATCGTAAGTGTTTCCGAAGTTCATATATGAGCGATGCCACTCCTCAGCGATCTCCCGCCAGCTTGATGTGGACATGTCAGAGATACATGCTCGCAAATCGGCACTCAGATCTCGAACTTGACTTTGCAGAGCCCTTCGTGCAGTGGCACTCAGTTCGTTCGCGATGCAATGCCTCCATTCCACAACGGTTCCCAAGACGTCAAAAAATATCATCGAAGGAGGGTCATCCCGTGACATCGTTGCGGATGCTTCGTCGAGATATACCAAGGAATGAAAACTTGTTTTGCATGAACTGTCGAATATACCTCAAAGTATAGCAAATTCCTTGTCAATCCGTGATATATGCAGCACGGCCTCACAAGAGGACTTGCAAAGAAAGGACAGATGGATTGTCCGCCCGGCGTTGGTGTAAACGGACATTGACTCTTTACATCAACCTCGGGAATTCATTACTAAGGGTTGCATGTGGTTGGCACGTGGGGAACCTCAATAAAAGCCCTCGGGTATCGCGGTTTCAGAAGATATTAGGCAAGGCACCAGAAGCAGTCAAATAAATCAGTCAGGCAGACATTACTCCTTAATCTGAATTAATTCGTTACCGTGGGTGTTTACTAGAAACTGCAGCTATTATTACACGTATGAGGCAACTATTATGCCGGAACAAACTGTTTTTGCATATCAATCAAGAGTTGATTGGAGAACAGAAGTGGGTTGATCTCAGGTCCAAGGCTGTCTCTGGAACTACACGACACCAGGCAGCAGCTTCTACATTCCAGCCGATTGAGATATTCACGCGAAGAAGCAAGGAAGTCTTCTCGAGCCGCAATGGAAGAGGGTGGATGTCTGGTTTCTCTGCGCTGGTGTTGCCTGAGAACATGTAAGGGGGTTCA